GAGACTGATCACGTGTGTTGCACTTTAACACAATTGCGTTGTTTAAAGAAGATCCAAATACTCCCTGTCGTGATAAGGAGTCTGGCTAAAGGCCTACTGATCACTGCCTCGTTTTAATCCACATGTTAAAGCCTTCGAAAACATAAAATGATTATTTAAAGATTTAGTAATAAAAGGAAATCAGTCTTTTGCATGTACGGGTGTGTGGGAGGCACGTTGCATCGGCACGCCTCGCGATTGACACTCGAGTAAATATCGGAACATAGTGTTACATCATTGACAGCGTGTGCAGTATTTATTCTGAATGTTTATTAATGCCGTTTAAACTGATGAGGGAAGCATCAGAAATGCAAGCAGCGAATCACGTGTTCAGTTGAATTGAGAAAAAAAATCTATTTCAGATGTCACACACTTTTTACTGCAGGCCTGTAAATGTGCAAAACTACCCGCTGGACCAACTAATCTCTTTTACAAGCAGATTCACTGCCGTAAAATCAGATACAAGCATTCATACTTGTACATATTCTGCGTTTTTGACGTCATTGGATGATCACGAAAGGTCGGTGTGACCAAACCGGGCGGCCTGAACACATGACATGTGAAGGAAGAGCAGATGTGGCGGTCTGAGATCAACAGCTGGCCCAGTTTTTCGTTTTGTTTAAAATCTACTAAATGTGAATTGAGTCGGGCTTTAAGATGCTTTAATTTGCCCCGGGCTCTCTTTTGCTCCCGAAGGGGCAACGGATCCCCGACTTTTAATGAGAGCTGCGATTGGCCTACTTCTGCTGGAACTAGACTATTTCACATCTCAACGATCATCCGCATGAGCTATTACAGGAGCCAATTTATTACTGATGATAATAACAGACCGAAGAGCGCGGTGAAATATTCTGGCGTTTTAAAGAACAAGGGGACCAAACACGTGCCCTCGTTTTAAATGATCGGTTCAAAAACACGTTACGAAAAACAAAAAGTGAATATCTAAAAGTCAGACTTAACATGCATCCCGTGCACAGCCCTGCGTGTGCATCACATGGACGCGGCATGACAAGAGGTCCAAAAAGCAAACGCCGTGCGTCTCCACAGCATCTCTTACCTCTTCCGGAGGCAAAGCGGACTCTGGGGAGAAATGTCCTCCACTTAAAGGTCGCAACCAATTGTCCCACACGGCTCCTCCTCTGCGTGGACATCGGGCCCTTGTGAGAGAGACAGAGAGTCCGCGCGAGTCTGCTCTCAGGTGAGTCCGCTCGCATCCTCAGTCCTCCAGCTTCTGCCTCTCCTCCGGGCTGCGCGCTTCCTCTACTCGCTCCCGCACTGACGTCATACCCGGAGCCGGACCAATCACAGGGCCCGCCGCGCCGCAGAGTGCGCGAGGGACGTCTCACTCTGGCTTTTTGTGGTGTTTCTTCACCGCCGCGACTACACTCCGCTGCTTGGTTGATGGTGACACTTTTGGTTATCGACATGGCGTAGCAATGTGAAGGACAAACCGCCTTTTCTGGAGTTTATTGTCAAATATTCCCCGGTTTACCCAGTTCTCGTGAACATTTTAGATGTTATGATGATGTTATATGTATATAGACTCCAATCAGACCACATTGTGATCTACTGTTTTATAAAAGCAATCAAAAAGGTGCGACCTATTTTTACAATTCAAGAACCGAGCTAATTGCCTCTGCAGCTCCTCAGAAAAACAATTTTATATACCTCCTGATTTATGTTTGAAAATGAATGGTCCCACTGCCGTGTTAGACGCACAAATTGAAAGAAGATCAGCAACGCCACGTGCAGCGGAGGCCAACATGGTTTTTGGTGCCGATAAATTGCTACGGATTCATATTTTCATAACAGAAGTTACTATGAAGTTACTTACCATGGCCTTTGTGTGGCGGTAAGCGTGCATAGAGAGTGCACGGCACATATACTTTCCGCCCTATAGTGTGTGTTTGCTGCGACAGGTTGTCGCAGGCTAGAAACAGGAGTGAGTCCTCTTCATCAATAGAGGATCTTTGAGCTCCGATCCGTTTGTATGTGAAGATCAGGGGCCACGGACAAGCAGACTGTGAGATCACCCCCAGTGAGCATTTTTTGGTTGAAAAGACGTTTAAAAGACGTCTATGCCCAACGTTGAAAAGACGTTGCAAAATGGTTTAAAAGTGAAAGTTGTTTCAACGTCTATTCGTAGACGTTGAAAAGACGTCTATGTTTAGACCACATTTCAACGTGATTTTTTAATACGGTAATATTTCGTCCTCTCTTGTGTGCTATATCATTATTTTAGAGGTTTAAAAAGAAACTACGTCCACATTTGTAAGTTTACCACCGATATTAATAATCACGTTGAAAACTACGAATAGACGTTGAAACAACTTTCACTTTTAAACCATTTTGCAACGCGTTTTCAACGTCGGGCCATAGACGTCTTTTAAACGTTGTTTCAACGGATAAATTGCTCGCTGGAAACGTACAAGTTACATACTTAAGTCACAGTTGTCATGTTAACATCCCTTAACAAGGACAAACACAATATTATTTTATTGATTTGTATTTATTATAAATATAACACTATACATATAACAGCACTTTTGCTAATTAAAAACAATACAGAAATAAAATATATTTTTCAGGAAAATAAATTATGGAATAAAAAGTGCAGAAACAACATTTCTGTGTTCAACAATTCTGTGTTTGTAGACCATTTTTCTGAATCATTGGAACTTCATTATAGATTCTGTAACAAGATGTGGGTCTGAGTCACTTGAGTTAGGATAGTATACCTGAAATCAGCTGCATCTCCCTCATCCTCACTTGAGGATTCTTTGTGTAAAGGGAGTCAGAGTGCACGGAGCAGATTCCTCTGGTCAACGTGTTTATTCAATTCAAATCATTTTATTTTGTTCAGCTTTGCAATCTGTAAACATGCAACACCCTATCCCCTAAACCCCAAAATGTAAAAAACCTTCAACCTGGAGAAACCTGAGGGGAAAACAGTAGGGAAGAAGGTGTGAACAACTTAAAAGATGTACAGTACATCCGATTCCTACAACATAAATGATTCTAATATTGTGGATTATTAAGCCAGGGGTAAGGCAGGACCAGTGCAGGGACAACCATCATCAGACGTAACCTCCATCAGATGCAACCACCACCCGCAGAAACCTGTGAGGAGGGAAGCACAACGGCAAAGTTGGTCATTTGGGTTTATGATGACAGTAATAAACTAATAATAATAACAGCAGCAGGTGTGTTAGAACACTCATTTATAGATGGTTTACTTATTACATTATAAACAAGATAACAATTCATCTGCAACTTATGGTATTTCTGGAGTAACATGTCCAGGTATATTACACAGTATCATGCTTTAAGCAGCAGTAACTTACAATGTTTCGGCCTCTTGTTTACAGAGCACAACTTGTTGAATTCAGCCCTTCACCCTTGCAATGCAACTTAGCCACCATTGCTTTAAAAACGTATTTTTTTCAATGTGAAATGCAATAATATTTATGGGTACAGCAACAATCTAACGCATTAGTAACACCAAACACGCACAAAAATGTCTGGAATGTTTACTTTTGGTCCAGGTCATCATGCTGCACGCTAGCATGCTAACTAGCAAACTACCTGCGCTAACGCTAACTAGCTTAACAAAAAGGGCCGTCTTTCCTGTATCGAGTCGGCAGCACAAGTAAAACACCCGGTTATAGTTCCATGTGTGCTTCATCCAAACACTCCCGTACTTACAGAGTAGTGGAGCCGGTAGTCGTGGTTCTATCAGCCCGTTCATGTCGCTCTGCTGCCGTAACTTCGCCTCGTCCGCTCGGAGCTCTGCAGGCGTCTAAGAACTCGCGCATGCGCGTTACAGATGTGAGCGGAGTCACGTGTTTACAAGTAATGTTTGAACCTGCCCGCATTATTATGTCTTAAACGCATCTTATTGACAGCACGCATTCCGTAGTTTCATATTTATGAAGTTTTAAGCGAAATAGTAAATACGTTGAAATTACGTCTTCGCGTAGACCAAATTTCGCCGACCAGTTCATTAATTATTATGAAAATCTTAACGTTAATATTGTCTATCTTTCAACCTAACGTTACATCATGACACATTTGTCAACAAATTGACGTTTTCTCGCACGTTGATGTTTTATCCCATTTTTAGCCAGTTGAAAAGACGTTGAAATGAGGTCCTAGACGTTCAGACCTCATTTCAACCCGATTTCAACCATATTTCAACGTTGAAATTACGTCTTGTGCTCACTGGGTAGCAGAAAGTAAAATACAATACTGTTAATAGTTTCTCTAAATTGGGCAATAGAGGCAATTTGAACTTTTTCTCATAACGGGTAGTCTGAATACTTTTTTATTCCAGTTGAGGGTTGGACAGCAAAACCACCCATATTGGTTTTTAAATGTAATGGTCTGTCAATTAGGCAGATATAATTAGTGGATGAGAATTGCATTGAACATGGTCAGTGTAAAACTATTTGGAAACACAAACTAACGACAGACAACGTAGATTTTTAGGTCCTGCACATAAATTAATCAATATTTAATTAAAGACAAACAAATAAAAAAACGTTTTAAATCAACTGGACTCTAATATTGTTTTATTCGTGCTTTCTATTCCTTTGTTGATTTTTTTAATCACGTGGTGCATTCAGGCGCACATCACAACACGCAGACCTAACAGTTCTCAACTGTCCATATTTACATCATTCATTCTTTTTATATGCCTAAAATAAATACTGTGAGGTTCCACGAGCCTTCCTGGTCCAACTTTTGGAAGTAATGTGTTTTTTTAACAGGTTTTGAAAAAACACTTTGGGGTCGTTGCATCAAACTTGACCTTGTGTTCTCTAAAGCAGAGCTTTGTTAAAAGCAGCACACGTAATTTACACCAAAAGCTGGAAACACAGCTTGTAGTATATGCTTAAAAATATACTGCTTCTGAATTATTTCATGCCAACTGTATTTGCAGATAAGTGGTGTTCAACCAATGACAGTAGGAACAAATACAAATTTCTTTATTGACATTGTAGGCAGACTGATTCATGGGCAACATGTAAAGTGAAGTCAGCAGCATGTGCTATATGCACCAGGCATGCAGCCATTTAAGTAAATGCAGTTTGTGGGAACTTTGGAGATGAGGCAGCTCTCATCGTTCTGCTTTTTTATTTCTCGCTCTCGCTCTCTTTCACACTCACACACACAGCAGCCTAGTGGCTGTAAAGGAGGAGGTCATCTTCATAGTATTCCAAAGATGATGTCTGGCTGGAAGAGGACACATTACAAGTGAGTTTATATTCAGTTTTAATGAACTCTGACATGTAGGATATTAGAAACAAAAATACGACCCGGTTCATAAAATTAATTAAATTCATATAGTGTACACCAGAATACAGCCATGATTCTGAAACTGTGTAATCAATAAAGTAATGACAATATTGTAAAACCACTGTAATTCTGCAACTGTACTAGAATAATATCGATGCAGTTATGATTGTATTTGATGTAATGTAATCAACTGGAATGCATGCATGTAATACTTGAACAACAACTGATATTGACTAAGGATCATCCGAAATCCGAGTTACATTGAACTCACCAGAAGACTCCCAGAGGTGTGGACACTGACTTTCACACCTTTAAGCATTGGTATAAATACCTGTAGGAACCATTGTTCTGGAGTTCACTGGTGGAGGCGACAGACGGGCACTAGGGATGGTCAAAGGACTGACCTGGGGCCTGTTGGTCGCTGAGACCAGCGGCTCCTCAGCTGAGATGTTCTTTTTACAGCAACGCCATCTCCTTTAGTAAATACATTTGATTTAACCTTTTGATCAGCGATGACCTCTGTCCGTCCGGCGTTTCTTCATTTTTGTACACAACAGACATGTTAACAGAACAGCGATGAAGGCTGCAGTCAGTCACTCACACGCTGCAGGAGGTGCTGCCCTGAGAAGGAGCGGATGTCTGCCGGCTGGCCGTCCTCTCCTACTGCTTTGCAGCTTGGTAACCATAGAGATTAGCCACTTGGAGGGAAATACTCACAACCACAAGGGACTGGGGAAGGCACACGGGTTATACATTTAAAGAGGGATGTTTTATGATCATAATGTGCTGATTATGTGCTGCACACGAGCAGCATGTGTCTCACCAGCCATTTAATCTTCAGGGAGAAAAGGGAGATGAAGAAGAACAATGTCCATATGAGAGGGCAGATGATGAGACCCAGCCAAAAAATCCTCGCCTCTGCCTCTGTCCCGATGTCCTTGCCCAATGAGGCCTGCACACACACATGGATGCACAAATGTTAATTAGCTCCAACCCCCCCCCCTGAAGTTCATAAGAAGACGAGAAAGGCACGAGAGGCACAGTTGAATCAGCTGCTGACTTGGATGACATCTCACCTTGACAGACCAGAAATCGAAAGAGAGCAGAGTGAGGATCAGCACAAAACATGAGGAAAAGCTCTCGCTGATCCAGTCACAGAGTAAGTAGACAACAATGGTGACCACCCGGAAGAACAGGTGAAAAAAGGAGACGAGTGGGTGTCTGCAATCAAAGGCAAAGGATTAGAAAGGATTTAAAGCCTAAAAATGCCAATAAGGCCTCTATAATTAAAGCAAGAAGAAAGTTGTAATATTTGCTACTGCATATCTACACATCTGAGCACATTAAAAGGCAACGAGACTCATTATGAATCACAAACAAAAAATAGCCACTTGTAAACACCTGAGAGAGGGTCATTCCTAATGGAGGTTTTAAGTCATTTAAATGACACTGGTGGTGACGAGGTCGGAAGCCGTCCCTTAAATCACTGTTGATGCCATATTTACAAAAACAAAATGTTCTCTGCAACGCAAACACACAGCCCCCATAGTGCACCTTATGACCGCGCTTCTCCGCGCACTCTCCTGCTCGTCGGCAGCAAAGTCCAGCTGAACATCCTCCGTGTCGTCCGCCATAGTCTGAGGAGCAACGACAAAACACAGCCGGAGTGAATCAGCCTGCAGCATCTTGATGGGATACAGACAACCACAATACGCTTTAGACGGAAAGCCTTCGCTACCACGGTGATGCCCATCGGTGTCATCATCGCAGACGTGAAAAGCAACGCGAGGACCTGTTTTCGGGGAAAGGCGTAGCGTTAGCTGTATTGCAGGGATGGAATAAACCAGGTGTTGCAGTGAATTGAGACCGACACCCAGCCTCCCTCCGCGGTCATTAAATGCTCCGTCGTGTCAAGAAGCTCGGGCTCAAATTATTTTACGGTCAAGAGGACTCCCGTAATGATGACAATGCCACTTACAGGCGACGACGTGACCGCCTCGACATTATGGCTAAAATATTTTCAAATACCAAAATAAAACGCAATGTTGTAAAAAAGCGACCGCGACAGGACTCGAACCTGCAATCTTCTGATCCGAAGTCAGACACCTTATCCATTAGGCCACGCGGCCAGTCGATATGATCGATTGCGCCACAAGAGTAATTATGCCTCTCTGTTGCTTCTTCAAAAACATATCTAGTTGTTAAATACTCGCACATATACTACATGTTCCTATTCAGAAAAAGACAACTAAACCGTGTTGTTCATGTTATCATTTATTTGTATTTCTAGAAACGATTTAGTCATCCGGACCGCGTGGAGGGGCTAATGGTTCGTCTTGCCTTTGATTCACTTCCTCGTGGCTTGAACACGCTGAATTAATAGTTTGTTGTGAAGAAGGTTGTACACACATTGTCGGCGTTGTACAGAAAGACACCTATCTGGTAAGGTTTTGTTTTTTTTGCTTTCAGCGACAGCATCTAACAAAGTTGGCGAGTGCAGGATTAAACGGGAATATTATTTAGATTGGCTTGTCACAAAATAGTAACACTCCCCTTCAAATATGGTAAACATGCGTTAGTTGGTTAATCATAACGTTGGCTTAAATAAGCAAACCAAATAAGGCGTGTGTGCATCTTAACGCCACGTGACTGTAGTATGCTAATGTAACGGAGTTAGAAATACGCTGTCATTTTCAATGTATTGTATCTTATTTTTGGTTATTATTCAACAATCTTGTTGAGTGTGTGTGTGAATTTTATTTTCATGAGTTAAATTTGCGGAAATTGCGATTCATCTCTCCTGCGCCTCCTAGGCTTCCGTAGTCCCGGTTTTTCCCGCCGCTCGCTCCTCTGCACCACACGGGACTCTCTTCAGACCGAGGGCTCCGCGGAGACCCGCCTCAACCCTCTTCAAATTCAGATGCTGTCGAGGAACCTCCACGACCAGATATTTCGAGGGCTGCAACCAGAGTACATCGAGGATGACGTGGAGCGCGGCATTCGGCACCTGCAGAAACATCAGCTGTGGGGAAGGAGATTTCCCTTTTGCCCGAAGTGGAGCTGAAGCTGCCCCAGATGCACGGAAAAGATATTGACGAGCACTTTCGCATCCTGGCCCAGAAGCAGAGTCTTCCCTACCTGGAGGCTGCCACCACGCTGCAGCTGGCCGATCTCCCTCCCATGCCGCGCAAATGGCACTGGGAGGTGGGATGGACGCGCTACCGGCCCGACGGGCAGTGTCAGTAGATGGATTTCCCCGAGGAGGAAGCCCTGGTGTTTGACGTGGAGGTGTGCGTAACGGAGGGACAGTGTCCCACCTTGGCCGTCGGCTTTTTTTAATGATGTTTATGTGTGCAGGTCGGCTGCTGGGACTGGGTTAATATTAGCAGCATTAATAACCTGGTTGACGTACATGCTCTGTACGTGGGAGGGCTAGCACTCAAGAAAGAGGCCAGAGAGACATTCGTGGAGGGCAGCATGACGGATGTCAGGAAGAACTTCCAGGTTAGATGCTCATGACAAATGTTGTGTCAAATTGTCTCTTCTAATAGGCCACATATTTTAATAGATGTTATATTAAAGTACCCTAAATAGGGCTGCAACAACGAATCGATAAAATCGATTAAAATCGATTATTAAAAGCGTTGGCAACGAATTTCATTATCGATTCGTTGTGTCGCGCGATTATTACGTCACTCAATGAGTTGCGGAGATGCGCGCGGAGCAAAAACGAAAATAAAGGCGCCGAGCCGACGTAGAGGAAAGAGCAGCCGGCAGTTGTTGTGAGTCACATGACGCAGGGAGAGACGTCTGTTCGACTAGTCGTCTAAGGTGTGCGAGCGTGGGGGGTCCCGGTCCACGTGGTCCCGTTTTGACGTGAGGGACGTAACAAGCCTCCTGTTTACTCGTCATCCAGCTGATCAAGCTAGCGTTAGCTCGCTAATAACAGCAGTAAAGCAGTTAGCAAGACACGTTTTTATTTACTCGCCTCTTTTGGACCATTCATTTTTCAATGTGTTGTCTGATATTTTGTGCTTTGTCCCATATCGGTTATTGTTGATAAATATATTTGTGTGTGTTGTACTTTTTGATGCTGTCATATACGGTAGTCCAGTGCGCTTGCGCATATACTGTGGGTTATACGGTAGTTGATGTTATGCCTGTAAAGGGAGACACATGGTGATCCATTAAATCAACTAAGAAGCCTCTAATGCATTTATTTACAAATGCCATTTTAAATTCATCTCATAGCACTTGGTTGTTTTTTAGCTGTATGCATTTACTTAACTTGCACTACAATGATGGTAATAATTTAATGAATATGCTTCAAGTGAACATGAGGGTGTGTTTGTGAGTGTAGTATAGAGAACTAGTTCTGACGAATTTGAGGTTCTGTTTTAGAATAAAGGGTTGGAAATTAAAGCTTTTTAATGCTGTTAAAAACTCCTACTCCTCCTCCAGACTGGGATGAAGGTACGTTTTATTTTTAAGATGGATAATTGTGGCTGACATTTTGTTTTAAGATAACAGAGATAAAGGTTTGAGTTGTTGTGATATTAGACCCGGGCCCACCCTCTGAAGAGGAGATGGCAGGTCCTTGCCCGAGCACGCTGGCTTTGGAGAAGCTGAAGGAAACCGTGAGTCGACTCCCTAAGAGAAGGCAACATCTGCCTGGACATCCAGGGTGAGTTAGGTCACTTCCAAGCAAAGCCATACAAATAATCATCAGTCCCTCAACCTCCTTACTGTGGCCTTCTATTCAGGTGGTATCGTAAGCTGTGTGAGAAGATGTCTGAGGAGGACAGCTGGTCACCTGGAGCCAACCTCATCAGTCTACAGATGAGAGTCACCCCCAAGCTGATGGGTCTGACGTGGGACGGTTTCCCCCTGCATTACACAGACAAACACGGCTGGGGCTACCTGGTTCCTGGACGCAGGGACAACCTGGTAGCCGAGGAGGGAAGCTCGGGCCCTGTGTGCCCACACAGGTAGTTGATACACTTGTGCTTGCACCATCAAGGCAATAGAATGTGTATGTGTGTGTGTGTTCATTGAGGAGGGGGCGGGGGTGTTGTCCTATTCCACAGAGCTATTGAGAGTGTTTACAGAGAATATTGTGAGCGGAACAGCAAACTGCAGCCTGAATATCCTGACTGCAACCCTTCAGATGACCTCATGTGGACAGACGGCACACTGTGGGCAAAGGTGCGTACGCGTAGTCACTGTTTAGTAATCGCATGAAAAAAGAGGTTTCTCATAACTTCAGATTGTTCCTCATAACCATAAACCATTTAGATGATGTAAAGTATAGACTGGTGCCACGGCTAGTAGCTAGATGCTGCGTGACCTTTCATTTTAACGGTATAAAATACATGTTGAATCCTCTGATTGTGCCGCATTGAGCAGAACCGAGGGCTCTGGAATGCTAACATTTATCGTGACATTGTTGTGTATTTCTTAACCCCACACACATCAAGGTGGAGGAGTTTGGGTCCTGGGAAAGTCTCATGGAGGAAAATGGAGTCAGAATGATGAGAAATGGGGATAGTAAGAAAAGCATGGTGAGTGAATTGATCATTGTCATTTACTCTGACTTTGTAATATGAACACGTTTTTCTTTATTTTATTTCATATTATAGCCTTGTTAACACAGAACAGCACAAGCCGCTCTGAAATGGAGCCTGTTGTGCTTAAATTGAACATTAGTGGATGGGATTTGCATTCTGTATTAACAGCAGTCTCCGGAGCCACGTCGTGCCCCAGAGGAGAGCCGCTGCCATTATCACCACGGAAACGGTCCCTACAACGATGTAGATATCTCAGGGTGCTGGTTTTTCAAATGACCTCACAAGGTGAAGTTTCACTGTTCTACCTACAGCGCCCTGATAGCTGACATCAGTGAATTGCTTTCATGGTCTCACTGGACGTGTGTGTGTGTGTTTCAGGACGGCAATAACAACAACGTTGGCAGTCCCTTTTCCAAAGACTTCCTATCCAAGATGGAGGACGGTACTCTCCGGGCCGGACACGGTGGAACCAACGCCACACGAGCTCTGGAGATCAACAAAATGGTGTCCTTCTGGAGGAACGCCCACAAACGTATTAGGTACCTCCTCCCCGCCGTAGTTGTTCATCTGCTTGTCATGAAGACAGCGCGTACAGGACCTCACCGTGTCTTTGTAGCTCTCAGATGGTGCTGTTGCTGAGGAAAGGAGAGCTTCCTCACATCGTCAGCAGGTTTGTCGCACACCGACGGCTGCACTCATTCGTCAGCCATAAAGGGGGGGGGGGGGTAAGCCAGCCCTTTGTATTTAAATACCTTTCGGTCTCCCGAAGACACAAAGAGTTCGATGAAGAGGGCCGATGTGGTGCCCTATTACCTCAAGTCATCACTGCGGGAACGGTAACACGGCGAGCCGTGGAGCCCACGTGGCTGACTGCCAGTAATGCACGGGTAAGAAGCCGAGCCGACTAATAGAAACGCCTCAGAGAAACAGTGTTGTCTTTTTTGACGGACTGTTTTCTTTGTGTGTCCGTAAGCGGGACCAGTTCGGCAGTGAGCTGAAGGCCATGGTGCAGGTTCCACCTGGATATCACCTGGTGGGAGCAGATGTAGACTCCCAAGAGTTGTGGATTGCCGCTGTGCTCGGAGAGGCTCACTTTGCTGGAATGCACGGTGAGATTTGTCCCCCGTCCTTTGACACCACGATATTAACGTTGTAGAAGAACGCATACTTTAAAACGGGTCAGTTTGGGAAAGGAGCGTGCAAGGTTAACGGTGTTGCCCCCCCCTACCCCCCCCCGGTGCAGGTTGCACGGCATTCGGCTAGATGACCCTGCAGGGCAAGAAGAGTCAGGGCACCGACCTGCACAGCCGCACCGCCGACACGGTGGGCATCAGCCGAGAGCACGCCAAGGTTTTCAACTACGGACGCATTTACGGCGCGGGTCAACCCTTTGCCGAGAGGCTGCTGATGCAGTTCAACCACCGCCTCGATCAGGCCGAGGCCGCCAGCAAGGCCAAGCAGATGTACGCGTTGACAAAGGGCATACGCAGGTACGCTCGGTAGTTGCGGCTTTGAGTTAAGATTTCATATTTTTTATTAGATTCCATTTAAGTGGAGTACTGGTGCTACGTGTTTGATCAGATACCGGCTGTCGGAGGAGGGCGAGTGGCTGGTCAATGAGTGGGTATACCCTGCAGGAGTTGCAGAGGATCACCCGACTGGCTTCGCAGAGGTGAGGGGGGCGAGTAACTAAGCGCTTGGACTCGGGCGAGCTCTTTTACCGTCACTAGATGCCCCCCCCTCGTCGTCACCCCCCATAGCTCGCGGCGGAAGAGGTGGGATATGGTCGGCAAACGGCTGTGGGCCGGCGGCACGGAGTCCGACATGTTCAACAAGCTGGAGACCATCGCGCACTCTGCCCAGCCAGCCACTCCGGTCCTGGGCTGCAGGATTAGCAGGGCGCTCGAGCCCGCGGCGGTCAAGGATGAGGTGAGGATGTTAATGGCCTTTTTATTGATTTCTTTTATTTTCTTTTTTTGATCAAAACAAACGCCCCAGCAGGATAAGGTCTAAATTAAGACGATGCCATATTCTGTTTTAGTTTATAACAAGCAGAGTGAACTGGGTGGTCCAGAGCTCTGCGGTGGACTACCTGCACCTCATGCTGGTGGCCATAAAGTGGCTCTCTGAGGAGCACGACGTCGATGGCTGTTTCTGCATCAGCATCCACCACGAGGTGCGGTATCTCGTCCGCAGTGAAGACCGCTACCGAGCGGCGCTGGCGCTTCAAATCACAAACCTGCTTACGATGTCTGCTATTTTATTCATTACCCCGTTGGAATTTTCAATTTTTTATTATGGACTAGGCAATAAAAGCTTGTGTCCCCTGCAGGAGTGTGTTTGCCCATGCGTTAGGCCTGCAGGACCTTCCCCAGTCAGTAGCTTTCTTCAGTGCAGTGGACATTGACCAGTGTCTGCGGAAGGAGGTCACCATGGACTGTGTGACCCCCTCCAACCCCACGGGTCTGGAAAGGAGATACAACCTACCACCCGGTAACTCCTGCACGCCGTCATCAGCCGGGAGTTAAACGTGTCTTTTAACGGGTTGTAATATGTATTTTTCCAAATATATGATATGAAGAATGTGCTTTAAAAACAGCAGGGTATGTTACGAATAAAATATAAATATTTCTGTAAATTAATCAATTTGTTACCTTACAGAGCTGTAAGTGACATGGCAGAAAAGAGTGAAATGACATACAATGTAGCTTATCATTTAAGGGAATTAATCAAACATATCTGATACCGGTCAGTGGTGGTAACATTCCATGCAAGATGTGACATTAAAAAGAAAAAAAAAACACTTAATAAATTGAACTGTAAGAAAACCAAGTTCAACAAACTTTGTGCAAACTTTCCACAGGTGAGGCATTGGACATTTACCAAATCCTCAACGCTACCAAAGGCTCTCTAAACAAAGGGAGATAGGACCCAACTGCCGGGACAAGATCCGGGAGGAAGCCGCAGGTGTGCGATCCAAACCGAGTTGAGCCTCGGCTCACTGCTTTCTCTTCTTCTGACGGGGTTCTTGTGTCTCCTCGGCCCCCTGTGACACGTTGGCCTGAAAAGGATCCAAAGAAGAGACTTGACGAATTGATCTGAGCCAGCGGAGTGTGTTAAAAAAGGCACAACAGAGGCATTCAAAACCTCCCACGTGGGGAGAGACTGAGGACAAGTCCGCTTCAGTGACTCGCGTGATCAAGTAAAAGAAGCCCACACTTACCTCCTGACTGGTGTCCTGCTCTTGTAGCGCTGCGTCCAGAGTGGCAGAGTTGATGCGGAAATCCCTTGAGGTGCTCAGCTTCATGTACTGCATCAGGTTTACCTGGACAGGCCTGCACTCGTCAAGCGTTTTGTTCCGTGGTGTGTTGTACGACTCTCTTCATAGCATTCGGTTAAGCACCACAGGCAACGTAGTTCACACAAATCTTTGATTTCTTTGAGAGTGTGATGAGGTATTTTTCATACTGCTTTAATACTTAAAAATGTAGATTTGTTTGAGGTCCACATGTTACAGTATATCGTTAATCACATTATAGGAGGGAAATCCTTACAGAGGGAGCAGCGTTCACTTCATTTCTTTTCTTTTTCTTCTTGTCATCTTCTCCTCTACCACCAAATTCTCTGTTCTAATAAAGAAAACAGTTTTTTAAAAATAAACCCGCAGCGGGGTGATGGTGCAGGTCCCGGGCAGCAGGGCCGTCTGGACCAGCTCATTTAAAGCAGTCAAAAGGGTCCCGATCTGCAGCGTCACGGCTTTCTCTGTTGGGTCCTGCTGGCCTGCGGTCTGGGTGGCCTCGCCTACACGTCGGGAACGCAACGCAAGTTTTATTACCTCATACCCCCCCTTTTAACGCTCACCATTAATCCCAATTTAGCAGCCGCGTCAAAGGTGTCGTACCAGCAGCAGATTTGTCACAGGACTTTTCTTTCGGACAATCAGCCAGTCCACTTCATCCAGCACTCTGTCCACCTGAGACAGGACCAGCAGCTGGGGACGAGGGATTCAAAATGAAGCGCGGTGGGCACACTGCGCGAAAACGGATTGTGATGTCATCGGAAGCTTCCGCTTGTCGAGCAAACACTCACCACTCCCGCCGTTGCAGTCTTCATGTTGATGATGGCAAAGTGAGACTGTTTTTCCACCTCAACATTCTGGCCACAGACAAAGAAAGGTATAAGAATGACATGCTCATTTTGACCCCCAGCACCAGAAGGTTCCCACACAGTATTATTGCAGAAGGCGGAAGAGGTGGGATATGGTCGGCAAACGGCTGTGGGCCGGCGGCACGGAGTCCGACATGTTCAACAAGCTGGAGACCATCGCGCACTCTGCCCAGCCAGCCACTCCGGTCCTGGGCTGCAGGATTAGCAGGGCGCTCGAGCCCGCGGCGGTCAAGGATGAGGTGAGGATGTTAATGGCCTTTTTATTGATTTCTTTATTTTCTTTTTTTGATCAAAACAAACGCCCCAGCAGGATAAGGTCTAAATTAAGACGATGCCATATTCTGTTTTAGTTTATAACAAGCAGAGTGAACTGGGTGGTCCAGAGCTCTGCGGTGGACTACCTGCACCTCATGCTGGTGGCCATAAAGTGGCTCTCTGAGGAGCACGACGTCGATGGCTGTTTCTGCATCAGCATCCACCACGAGGTGCGGTATCTCGTCCGCAGTGAAGACCGCTACCGAGCGGCGCTGGCGCTTCAAATCACAAACCTGCTTACGATGTCTGCTATTTTATTCATTACCCCCGTTGGAATTTTCAATTTTTTTATTATGGACTAGGCAATAAAAGCTTGTGTCCCCTGCAGGAGTGTGTTTGCCCATGCGTTAGGCCTGCAGGACCTTCCCCAGTCAGTAGCTTTCTTCAGTGCAGTGGACATTGACCAGTGTCTGCGGAAGGAGGTCACCATGGACTGTGTGACCCCCTCCAACCCCACGGGTCTGGAAAGGAGATACAACCTACCACCCGGTAACTCCTGCACGCCGTCATCAGCCGGGAGTTAAACGTGTCTTTTAACGGGTTGTAATATGTATTTTTCCAAATATATGATATGAAGAATGTGCTTTAAAAACAGCAGGGTATGTTACGAATAAAATATAAATATTTCTGTAAATTAATCAATTTGTTACCTTACAGAGCTGTAAGTGACATGGCAGAAAAGAGTGAAATGACATACAATGTAGCTTATCATTTAAGGGAATTAATCAAACATATCTGATACCGGTCAGTGGTGGTAACATTCCATGCAAGATGTGACATTAAAAAGAAAAAAAAAACACTTAATAAATTGAACTGTAAGAAAACCAAGTTCAACAAACTTTGTGCAAACTTTCCAGAGGTGAGGCATTGGACATTTACCAAATCCTCAACGCTACCAAAGGCTCTCTAAACAAAGGGAGATAGGACCCAACTGCCGGGACAAGATCCGGGAGGAAGCCGCAGGTGTGCGATCCAAACCGAGTTGAGCCTCGGCTCACTGCTTTCTCTTCTTCTGACGGGGTTCTTGTGTCTCCTCGGCCCCCTGTGACACGTTGGCCTGAAAAGGATCCAAAGAAGAGACTTGACGAATTGATCTGAGCCAGCGGAGTGTGTTAAAAAAGGCACAACAGAGGCATTCAAAACCTCCCACGTGGGGAGAGACTGAGGACAAGTCCGCTTCAGTGACTCGCGTGATCAAGTAAAAGAAGCCCACACTTACCTCCTGACTGGTGTCCTGCTCTTGTAGCGCTGCGTCCAGAGTGGCAGAGTTGATGCGGAAATCCCTTGAGGTGCTCAGCTTCATGTACTGCATCAGGTTTACCTGGACAGGCCTGCACTCGTCAAGCGTTTTGTTCCGTGGTGTGTTGTACGACTCTCTTCATAGCATTCGGTTAAGCACCACAGGCAACGTAGTTCACACAAATCTTTGATTTCTTTGAGAGTGTGATGAGGTATTTTTCATACTGCTTTAATACTTAAAAATGTAGATTTGTTTGAGGTCCACATGTTACAGTATATCGTTAATCACATTATAGGAGGGAAATCCTTACAGAGGGAGCAGCGTTCACTTCATTTCTTTTCTTTTTCTTCTTGTCATCTTCTCCTCTACCACCAAATTCTCTGTTCTAATAAAGAAAACAGTTTTTTAAAAATAAACCCGCAGCGGGGTGATGGTGCAGGTCCCGGGCAGCAGGGCCGTCTGGACCAGCTCATTTAAAGCAGTCAAAAGGGTCCCGATCTGCAGCGTCACGGCTTTCTCTGTTGGGTCCTGCTGGCCTGCGGTCTGGGTGGCCTCGCCTACACGTCGGGAACGCAACGCAAGTTTTATTACCTCATACCCCCCCCTTTTAACGCTCACCATTAATCCCAATTTAGCAGCCGCGTCAAAGGTGTCGTACCAGCAGCAGATTTGTCACAGGACTTTTCTTTCGGACAATCAGCCAGTCCACTTCATCCAGCACTCTGTCCACCTGAGACAGGACCAGCAGCTGGGGACGAGGGATTCAAAATGAAGCGCGGTGGGCACACTGCGCGAAAACGGATTGTGATGTCATCGGAAGCTTCCGCTTGTCGAGCAAACACTCACCACTCCCGCCGTTGCAGTCTTCATGTTGATGATGGCAAAGTGAGACTGTTTTTCCACCTCAACATTCTGGCCACAGACAAAGAAAGGTATAAGAATGACATGCTCATTTTGACCCCCAGCACCAGAAGGTTCCCACACAGTATTATTGCAGAATGTAAATAAATGATGTGTTTAATAGCAAAAACAGTGATTTTAGATGCGCCAATTGGCCACATTTTGAATCCCTGCAAAAATGCCAAATCGCTTGTACTAATTTTGTGTACCCCATCAATATCTCCAAGTTGGCTGTGGATGTCTTGGCACAATTCCAGCAGCAGGCTTACAGGACTCTTGTAGAGGACATGCAGGTTGAAGAGCAGGGTGAGCAGCCCCTTGGAGAAAGCCGAATCCTCTGTACGAGACAAGCAGTCGGATCTCAGCACACCCGGCGCTACACGTGCACGCAAATAAGTAAACGGTCACTCACCAAAACTGGTCTCCTTGCAGATCTTCACGGTCCAAGGGATCATCTGTACAAACTGTAGATGGAGGTGCATGTTAGGGGGGGTGGGGGCGGGCAGGTGGTACGGAGGATGCTGTGTGAGGTGCAATTAGGAGTACAGCTACCTGCTGGGAGGAGGGCTTTAGCTGGCGTGAAAGCACACACAAGATGCTGACCAGCAGCTGAGCCTCTTTGCTGTTAAATTCTTCCTCCCCTCGGCTTAACTGTGTGAAGAGCGCCCTCTGTTGGCAGGTTTAGAAAACCCACTTGTGAAATAACGTTTAAAGCCAGGCCTCTGAAATTACCATTTTTTGAAATAAGTAGAGGGGAGAAACCAAATCCGTTCTTTGTGGGTGTACCTGAAACTGTCTTATGTAAAAGAAGTTCATCTCTGTAACGTTGCCTTCGTCCGGCTCGGCGTCGTCCTCAGACATTTCTGTGAGGGGGGGGGAGAAAAAACAAAAAACAATGACTTCCTGCGTGCCGTTTGGACGTGCGGCGTTTGCTTTTTGAGAGCGGTGGGTTTCAAACCCATGGAGGAGAGAAGCTGGGCCATCCTGTCCGGGTAGCGCTGCTGACAAGCAGTGAAGATCCTGAGCAGACCTTCCAGACACACCAGGGACAAGCTGGAGCGCTTCTCCTTCTTCCCTGCGTCCTCCACACCGCTGGGGATGTTGGTGTAACGCCACAGCAGCACGCTGGATTGCGCAATGACAGACCTCTCGTTGGACAAAGGCGACAAAAGCATAAACAGGGTTTAACCAGGAGCTGTCCTTTTAGGAGGGAGTGAGTTCTACCTCGTTGTGTCACAGAGGAAGCGGAAAGTTCTTTCTGCGTTCTGTCCATCTGGCCCGTCCGTGTGTCCCGTCTCCTCCTGCTGCTGGATCTTCTGTACGGCCACATTCACGGCGTAACGCACAAACTCTCCACTTGAGCGGAGCACCGAGAGGGCCTCCTCTCTGCTCTGAGTACTGTTCCTGAAGAAGAAAAGAACGAGAAAATCCACCATCCATTTCATTCTAGCAATTATTATTGTGTGTTTTGGTGTTGCCAACTCTACCCCTGATTCAGTGCACATTCAATAAAATGCTATTTGTATATTTCAGCACTTCAAGTTCAGAGACCAATCAATGCTATACAAGATGTGCTGTGTACATTGTGGTTTCACTCAATACAATCTGATCTATATATTCAGACAGCGTCTGTGTGCGAACATCGTTACCGGAATAGCACAGTGAGGAGAGTTGATACGAAGCCCAAAGAGAGTAAACTGCGAGGAATCTTGTTTGAGAGCACTCGAGCCTTGCCAGATTTCTCCTTCGGGATCTCGGCCAGTTTGTGGTAGCAGTTGAACAGCTCCATGAGCTCCTCAAAGCGGCTCTTACTGCGACACACAGAGGTGGAGGCACGCAGACCATCACGTTAACAGCTGCTACGCAGCACAGGAGCGTAATCGTACCAGGAGAAGGGGGTTGTTACCTATAGTTGGCTTTGATGAAGTTGTGCTCCATGAGGACCTCGTACACTCCCATCACCAGCACCGCATAGATATTGTTTTTAACCCCAACACTGTTTGCCGTGGAGAACTCGGCCGACTGACAGACATTAAATGACTCAAGACGGTGCTTTCAGTGGAACAACATCATCTGGCACGCTGAGGGACAAGCGCGGAAGCTGTGCGTGAGAAACACTGGTAGTAGAGATCAACTAATAGACAATTCAAGAAAAAAAATGGCCAATTCATTCTTAAGGAGAAGTGATTATTTGCCCCTTGCTTTTAAATCTAAATCATATTTTTGATAGTCCAGTTGAACCTTTTGAAGCCCTTACTGCTGTCAATTGCAATGTAAGCTGTGTACTTTTTTCTCGAATGCATACCAGCTCAAAGTCCTCTAGTTCACACTTGATCATGCGTCTCGTCATGCTCTCTAGGACTGCCTGTATTTCACTCTGGTACCCCTTCCCCCTTCCTCTTCCTCCTCCTCATTAGTGTTGGTATTGGCCGATTGGCTGTTCTGCAGCCACAGTAGGCAATGCACGAAATGGCCTGAAATGGAACAAAAGCGTATTTATATGAAAAGGTACCGACGTGGCACAAACAGGCAGTAAAGTGTAAACAGAGGCAGAGTACCAGCGGCTCCTGCAGGTAGACCTGGTCTCCGATTGCCGTGATGCACGGCTCCAGTTTCACCGGGGGCAGGAGGTCTTGTTCGGGCTCGTAGTACCGCCTCAGCTAGAGAGACAAAGACGTGACATACAGAGAACGCGACAAACGCGGCCGTCATACCGAACGCGGTTTACGAGCACATACCTGCGAGAGGGGGGTCTGCATGACGGAGCTCCCGAGCTGAGAGTTGCGACGGAGGACGTCGTAGAAACCCTGAAAACGGTTGATGATTTGCCTTCTTAGTATATTTCTTTACAAGCACGAGCGTGCATGCAATTGGCTCGCGGTGGCGTAAAACAGGTTAAGCGCATCAAAGCAGCACGGGAGACGTCTAACCTCGTAGAGCATGAGGCGAACGTCGGCCTGCTGGCCGAGGCAGCGGCGCAGGCTGCTGAGGATCTCCAGACAGAACGCCTCGTTGGCAGCCGAGTTGTAGCGAGCGTGGACGTCCACTTGGATCTATTCAGGGTTTCAGGCAGACATACTGTCCCTGGATGTCTGTGTTTTGTCCATCGTCCTCAGATATATTGACACAACTGTACCTGACTAGAGGAGACGGCCTGGCTACACTGTCTCGAGGCCAAGCTGCCCAACACTTTGAAGTTCTTTAGCAGCAACAAGAAGCCGGTCACTGCAGACTTCCTGCCATCCAGTTGGCTTGCAGAGAGTAATATGGAGGAAAGAAGCGGGTAAGAAGGCAATCGAATTTCCTTACGAAAAGAGGACGATTCATTGAATTGTACTGATGAGTCTCATCTGACTCAAAGAGAAGCTTCGCCCACCTGGAAAACATGGCCTTGCGGAGAACTAGAATCAAAGCATCTTTCAAAGACATGCTGACCTTGAGCAAAGGCTGCAGAGTAAACAGAGAAAGATTATCAAACTAAATCAACCACTACAATGTGTGTGTGTGTGTGTGTGTGTGTGTGTGTGTGTGTGTGTGTGTGTGTGTGTGTGTGTGTCAGTTTATTTACCTGAAGGCTTTTAGTAGACCCTGAACAGTGGTCAAAGGCAGGTATGATAGGTGGTCAAATGTCTCGGTCACCTTAGAAGATGACTCCAGGAGGATCATGGGAGCAGAAACCACAATGTCAGAAAAAAGATCTAAATGATGCACAAACAAAGACGAGAATAAGTCAGAATGTAATCTCTAACCAGACAGACACTGGTGTACACCAGAACACTCCTGTACACCTATATCTAAAGGTGGTCTTACCTAAGTAATTTTTGACAAGCGACGCCGTCTTTGAGACCAATCGATTCAGGACCTGGTCCAGTATCTCACCTCTGATGGGCTCGTGCACCTGTTGGAGAAGAAACGCACATCCTTCAGCAAGGAAACCATATAATGAGGTAGTCAATTATGAAAAATTGACCTGGTTTATTCTATAACATCAAATAAATAAATACCTTAAAGCCCTGCAGAAGCACCTGTCCTCCCAGCTTGCATGCCTGCTGATTAGGGGTCCGGGCTATGCTAGCAGACCCTTCAGTGGTCTTGCCAAACGGTCCAGGTTTGGGTCCAAATGCATCCATAAGGAAGAAGCCCAGCTGAACCAGACCTTGGGTCACATGATCCCAACCAAACACACTGCAGAGGCGGAAGTATAGAATTTGTGTGTTGATGCTGAAGTGGTGAATATCACATATTTGTCCAGAAAATTTTAAGACGTGCAGTTCTTCTGTTAAAAGGACTTAAGTTGGCTTTTGAAGGGCTGACCTGTTCTTGACTGTGTCAAGTATCATCTGAGCCACACTGCAGTGACCAGGCAGGAGGTCCTGCAGGAACTTTGACCCCTGCTGCAGTTGCTCATCCTTGAAGCTCTTGATGATCGCCCCTTTCAAAAGGTCAAACACCTAAACAAACCAGAGAAAGGACAAATGTGCGGAGAAGATCAAAAAAAGAAATACTCCAATGAGTATCGGGAAGAATGTATAGGATTCTCACCTGCTCTCCATAACGCTGGATGCGTGCCACTGAGAGCAACAGGGCAACGCTGAAAGGGCATAGATCCCCGTATGATGTCTGCAGACAAAGATTTATGGCATTAAAATAGAGTTATGCATTTTTCACAAATAACTTAACCTACAGATGAGCCATTACGAACCTTAAAGCTTTTAAGGAATCCTCTGCCGAGTTCATGGTTGAGTCGTATAGCAAAGACTATATGTGGAGGATAGCAGTGCCCTCCACATGCCTCAACTGGTCCAGTGGAATGGACTGAACCTCCAGGTCCAGGCTCCTGAGGAAGGAACGGTGAAAAGGAACGATTAGCAGTGAAAAGTGGGCAGTAAGATTCAGAGTGAACACGGTGTGTTCCACTTGCAGTGTACGAGTCACTCACTCTCCAAGTTTCTGCTCCTCCTCCTGGCAGACATCTTGTTCCTTAAAATAACAGATGATTCCATCCAGGACCTGTTTCTTACAACCCTATGAGACAAGGGTGCAGTGCAGGTCTTTAGATCATTAATGCAAGCAGGAAAGATGATCACCTATTGTTTCATTTTACACACACGCACACCAACCTTTGCAGATAAAAGCAGCAGTTGATAAACCAGTGGTGGGATCTCCTGCAGATCCAGCTTGGTGAACATCCTCAGTACTTTCTCCACCACAAACTGCAGCTCCTCTGATGACAAGGGCACATCCCTAAAAATTAGAGAGGCCCAAAACAAAACTACGGTCAACATTGCTATATGCTCTAAAAATATTGAAAGCATTAATAAAAAGTTGTATTGCTCTGTGGGAGATGGAATAGACTGTAGAATGTGGTGGTTCGATAGTCAAAAGGTCTTACCTGAACATGGTCGTCAGGTGGATCACATTGCGGGTCCCATCTGCATGAAAACAAATACGTCACTCTTACAACTAAGATCCATACGGATCTCAAATATTTCATCCCAGAGAGGTGATTGGATGCAGCCAGGGCTGTAGTGGAGGGTAAACGCACGTAAACGCCGTTTACGCACCTCTGGAATTTTGGAAATAGCGTTTACGCACCTATAAATAGCGTTTACGCACCTATAATAGCGTTTACGCACCTATAAATAGCGTTTACGCACCTATAAATAGCGTTTACGCACCTATAAATAGCGTTTACGCACCTCAAAGTTCCCTGCGCCTTGTATTCTTCCGTTGGAATAATCCGAAATAAACTTACCTATTGTTGAACATATAAACGGCGTAGTCTGAATCATGTTCATCTGCGCTGTATTACGGTCTGTGAGCATCCAATCAGTGCCTTGCGGCTGCAGCAGCGACCAATCAGGATCCAGGAGGCGCACGCTCTGTGTTCGCTGGTCGTGCGCGGTAAAAGAAAAACGCCTGGTGACGCGTAGATTAGAAAACATGTCAGTACACAATCCTTAATTGGACTGATCGGGCAGCAAGTACAGGATGTTGTATGTCGTGTATGTTGTATGCTGTAGCAAATGAGCGGTTAGCTCTTGACTGGGTATATAAAATTCTCATTCAAAAGACACTTTTGGAGCCAAGTACAATCACAATTGCAAGAAATGTTTCGCTTTTATACATGCAATTAATCAATAATTATTAACAGATCGTACCTCCAGCATCAGCTGCCACCTCAGTCTGAAGATCCCCAGACTCACACAGAGGGATGCAGTGCTGATAAACAAGGAGTCTGCGGTTTGACCCTTCAGGGGAATCTGGCGCGGAGCCTAAAATAGAGCAGAAAAAGTAATCATATATATATATATATATATATATATATATATATATATATATATATATATATATATATATATAAAATCACAGGATTCTGAATAGACATGTGTACATTAGACTGTTGTGATCTGCAATGCTACTTACCTTTGAATATGCCTTTAATCATGGCACCGACCTTCTCACTCTTCAGTGCGCCGTTGTTAATCACAGTGGTCAGCTAGAAAGCAGAACATGTTTGTTTTTAGTAATTACAGCATTTGGTGGGTTGATGAAGTAGGTGAGCGTTCGTTACCTGGTCATCTGTGAGCGTGGACAGGTACTTCTGGAGTTCAGTACTGTCCCCGTCTGATAGTGCGAGGCTTTTATCCATTACGGCTGGTTAAAACGTAACGCGAGAGAAGGGACTTGAACTCCCTCGCTGTTACTGTGGCCAGCGCTCAGTGCGAACCAACGAAACGCACAAATTAAACGCTAGGACGTTAGTTCACTATGGAGGACTAAAAGTGCCACAATTAAATAAATAAATACACCATTAAATAATTACTTAAATGTGTCATTCATTAATTAAAATTGGAATTAAATAAATAAATGTGTCATTAAATGTGTCATTAATTAATTAAAATACCGATTCATTGTATGTAAAATGCATATATAACTATTTCACTATTTACATTTACATTTCATGATCCTGCGTTGCAGCGCTTCATGAATTACTTAAAACTGTCAAACTGACCCATCAAAAGTTGGTAGGCGGAACATAACGCCTGATTGGTTACCCTGTGCATCAAGTCAAGACAAATCAATTCCAGATAATGGATCGCTGCAGAGCTACTGAACACATTCCAATACACTGGGTGGCGCTATTCACCTCTACGTTGGTTTGGATACGCTGTTAAACAGAACTTTCATTGCAACGGCTAAAAATCAAGGAGATGACGCGGTCCTGCTAGCCCCAATGACCAAGGACGCAGACGCCGTGCGAGGTGCAGGACAAAATGTCAAAAAGTTGCCCGGAGCTGCTGAGAGAAGCAGCGAATTTGATTGAGGAAGCTCTGAGCAGAAGTCCAACGGCTCCGGCGGCTCAGTCACAGCAGATACCGGCCGCTCAATCACGTACACCTGTCCAAGGTAAGCTAAGTAATTTCATGTTAGCCAGGTGTGCTACTCATTAATGATTCGGGACACACGTGTGGGTTAAATTAGATCGACTCGAAAATGTATTTGTATGTGGTATTATGATGTTTCGTGCGCGACACGTTCGTTGTTAATTGGTGGAGCATAAAACCCGCTAGTTAGCTAATGGTGTTAGCTGGTTTGAGCATCCCAAGATAGAAGTAGAGACTGTTTTAGCTGACTGGTGACCATTGAGCGGTGACGTTTTTCTGTGTTGCAGCGGAGGTAGCAAGGCTCTTTGCGCCATACAACATTGGAGCCAGAAGGAATATGACGAGACGACCAGCACAAGTCCAAGTTAGCCGAAGAAGCTACACACATACTGTCTGTTGTTTGGCTGACCACAATGCGGATAAAATTCCAAGCGTACTGGTTATAGCTGAACTTCCTCATTCAGGACTTGGAGAGCAAAAAGTAACATTTTCAGGTCAGTGCGAAACTAGGCATTTACCAAAACAAAACAAATTCTGTTCATTGAAATTATTTGCATTTAATTGTATAGTGACTCAAACGTAATTCATTTTAATACTGTGAATAATAGTTATCACAGGCTTATTTGCTTAATTTAAGGTGAGGTGAGTTATGATTTTGTTTTGTTTTTCTCCAGGGAATGACCACGATCCCATGGTTATAACAAATAAACTGATGGAAGTGTTTCCGAAGCTCCAACAAGGGGGAGGCTTTGAACTTCTAAAACTTTTAGGATCTACTCGCAGTCGAAATCTTGCATTGCTTCAGTGTCCCAGCACTGGATACACCCTTGCCTATCTGAAAGATCCATCGACGATGATTGGGCAGGCTACAATCTACATACGTCCACTTCAACAGGATCTACCCTTAGATTGTGTACATAAATTTACAGAGACCTAGTTTAATACATAATCAAAACAAAGATTACTGGTGACTTTTAATCATTAATTAAAAGCCATTTGTTGTTAGGAGAGCTCACGTCCTGCCTCTGGTCCAGTCATCCCCTGCATCACTTGTCAGATGGAAGTTCCCTTTTCAGAGATGAAGCTGCACAGATTGAGCTGCAATGGGTATGTACTTCCTAAAGCAATGCGAGGGTAGCATATTCATTTTCTTTGGGAATATGTCCTCTTGGAGTGTTGTGCACACAAATAAGCCAGTATGACCATTTTGATTCTGTTCACTTCGAGGACACCCATGGAGGAAAGAGAACAAGAGGGAGGCCAAAGGGAAGAAAATGATAGTGAGACAGCCCTAGTCAGTGACAGTGTTCCAGTGAGGTCTGAAACATCAGCTGAGAGTGCAGTAGTTCCAGCAGTGATGGTCAACGAGGAGTTGGATCGCAAAGAAACAGACAGTGGTATGTGTCATCACAATAGTGTTGCTATAAGATTGTGTGTAACTGAAAAGTCAATAGAAAGCGAACACTTTTAATATAGAATTGGATAAGATAATAGTTACAGGCAATTAATAACATGCACCTGTTTTTTTTATTTTTCTAATATTTAGTTTTTGTTGAATGACGTTTTTATGTCAACTCGGCGTTGTGACAGATTTTTAAGCTATTGGGTCCCGCGTTTTATCAGTGAAATAACATAATTTTCCTCCTGTTGTGTAGAGTGAGAGGGTATCTGTATATGCAGGTAACATGCCAACTCACAATATGTCTCTGGAATAGATAACTTTGTTGTTGTTTGTTTAGAATGGAAGATTATTGAGGAACCCACTCAAGCTGCCAAAGTTTTCAAAGAAAATCTGCTAAGGGAACATGCAACTGGGAAACCGCTTAGAATGAAGATGGATGTAAGGGAGTCTGAAGAGGACCGGGAACGGGAGCTTCTCTTATTCTATAAACAGCAGCAAGAATGGGCATGTCCACTTCATTGTACTCTGGTTGGTAAGTAATATAAAGTTTATAATATAAATACATCAGTACAGTTTATACCACTCAAGTAGCATATATGGAATTGTCCCATTGGAAAATGGGAGAATGGAATGCACAAAATTATATAATTGATAAAAAATGTTATGTATGTGAATATTGTGCACAATATACTCTTATCTGGAATAATCAATATTAAGGATGCTGTTCTAAATTACAGCCAATATAATTTTGACTATTTTTCTCCCTTGCTTGTTAAATGTTAGCTAATCAAGTTACCCGTATTTGTCTGCCACTTTTTTCCACTGTGTTATTATCAGTATTTTATTTCAGGTGATCTTGCTATCGGAGAGGGAGTGATGCGGTACTTTATGACAACAATCATATCCAAACTCCAGTTTGGATTCAGTCTAGATCTTGGTAAGTACTCGCACACGTTCTGGTGGTTGATGAACGCAGATATGTGCTGTTTAGCAGAGGGCCGGTGGGCAATGTTTTGTGTCAGGTAAATCAGTAAGTCAGTAGTAGGATATTCAGGGGGGTTGCATTTGAAGTGGTTTGGGGTCTGTAAGTCATTTTGGAGTAGGCTACAATTTTGTTTAAGTGAATTCTACAAGCAGCAATACCACAGGCCAAGTAATCGCCCGTTCCAAACAGGCACATTTTCAACGGGCACTGCACTAGTATGATGTAATTTTATGTATTTAAGAGGTTAGTTGTTGTGACTTTATTCCCTGCTCTCTTGGTACTTTACAGGAGGAATGGGCCGAACACTGCTATTTGAGGGTGAACCTGACCATCTTGTTCCAGCAGCATCAGAGGCACTTATTGAAAGCAACCTCTTCCGGGTTGCAGGAAGGATGTTGGCCCACACTTTTCTGCATGACGGTCCCCATGTTACAGGATTAAGTCCTGCTGTAATTCATGTACTGCTCAATGGGGACCCAGAAATGGCTACTGTTGTTATTGAAGACTGTCCTGATCTGCACATCAGGAGCATCATAGAACTGGTATGTAACCTAAAAGATAATTTGCCATGTAAAAAAATATTGCTTGGGCAGATATAATAAATGGTATGGTCCTTATTCTAGCTTGAACATGAAGAACTTACACCGGAACAGAAAGCCACAGTTTCAGATCTTTCCATGTCTTGGGATCTTCCGGCAGTCACCAAATCAAATCGGAGATGGCTACATAATAAACTTCTACTCCATGCAGTGAGTTCCTGCTGGTTAAGTGACAGAACTCATTGCTGTACTTGTTGAAATTATAGAATGTATTCTGAACCCTGGCTTGTTAATGTTAACACGAGAGTTTAAGTACTCGAGTTTTAATGGGTTTTTATAAGACACTTTATTGTGCTTTTATTAACATTTTGTTCTACTGTGCCAACTTTTGTCAAATTTGGGTTAAGGATTTCTGCTGTAATATGGGTCTGTCTGTCTCTTAGGTCGTTGGGAGGACCATGCGCCAAATTAAACAGTTGAGAAAGGGACTGAAAGATGTGATGGTATGGCCCCTGCTGACATCTAGGCCAGATGTTGTCCCACTTCTTTTCCCCAAAATGGCTGAAATGCAGTTCACACCCCAGGTAAGTCAGTAATTTAGTTATATTTGTGACTTAACTTAATGAATTTTACGTCTTTTTTCCATGACTGAGCTGGCTATTTTTCCATTTTCCAATAATGTGATCTGCATCTCCCTTTTTAAAATTACAATTTGTTTTCTTTAAGATGCTCCTAGAAGAAATCACATGGCCAGTTGAGGACAGTGATGATGAAGACTTTGACTTGGACACCACCTGCCGCATCACTGGCTTTCTAAGGATGTTCATTGAAACGGGTATAAACCTAATTTCTCTTTAAAAATGCTTCTATGTCTCATGGATAGATATGATCAAATAAAGTTGAACTAAATGTCTTCAATCCATTGTATGACTTTTAGCTTCATCAGGTACCCTGGCCCAGCTGCTGACATCCTGGGTTGGCTGGGAGATGCTTCCTCCTGAACTGACAGTGGTGATTTCTGAGGGAACCCTTCCTACGTCCTCCACATGCTTTGAAACACTAAAGCTGCCAGCTCATTTCAAGATCTACATGGACTTTGAGAAAGCACTTGTCGCTGCTATAAAAAGTACTGGATTTGGGCTTGTTTAAGTATTTTCAGACACAAGTTCAGTGTCTTTGAAAACTGATTAACACACTGCAGCAGTTGACTTTTTATTTTATTTTTATTCGGCATATATATATATTTTTTTTTTTTTTAAAGGAAAGCAAACTTTCAGTTTTTGACTGCTTGTTCTAACACAAAAAATAAAAACGTGTCGGACATCAGTCTAAGATTCTTGATAACACTTCCACAGTCTCTACATATAGTCTAAGCGCATCAGTAACAGAAACTCCTGGAGCTGGCAAAATTGCAACCTCTTCATCTGAGAGCTCACGGGCCAGCTGAACCTCGGGGACTGACACAGTGCCTCCATGAAGGCTGTGAGGTCCGTTCCAGTCGATCCCATACTCTTCAGGAATCTGAAAAGATGACAAGCATAATCAAACTTGTACTTAAAAATAGTTTGACATGTCCTAACACAAGATTGTTATTTTTGGTCACCAAGTCAGTGAGAAATTGTTAGTTATTAAAGTTTTGTGAAATAATACAGCTGTAGTATGCACTGTAGAAACTACAGCTCACAGGTTGATCTTTAAAAGCTTGGGAGATTTTAAAGACAATATAGTAAATGTTCCATTTAAAGTACCACATTTAGCACAATTTTTTTCCTCCCATAATTCCTTTTGGGCAAACACTTTAGAAACGTGTTTAAAGTTGATTGTTAACCTCAGTAGGATCCTCCTCAGGGCCTTGCTCTCTGTAACGTCTCCAGAGTTGCTGTGGTGACTGATTCCTTTCAGTTCTCAGACCGTGAAAGTTCCAAGCATCTCGAAAAGAGTCTAGGCTTTGCTGAACCAGTGGAAGGAAAATCCGGTGCAGAGCGAAAAGATGGACTTCATTGTCTGGATTCAGTGTTCCCTGATCTTCCAATGAAGTAAAGATCTGATAGAAGAGGTCCAGGGCATGTTCATAAACATCTCTCCACATCCTCTCTATTCTGTGTTTAGGATAAAATTGTCAAATTGTTAATTTATGTGACATATGCTAAAGTACATTCAACTGGTATTTTAGTTGTGTGAGCCTAGTTGCCAAACATATTTCTTTACCGCTGATTGTGGACACTTCTGCCTGTGATGTGTGAATTCCTGTCGGTACCTCTGCTTCTGATCATGAATTCTGCTACATCTGCATTCTCCCCCCCTTTATCAGACCGTACCCTTGATGGCAGCCCATACTGCTCAACAGCGGCGATAAAGCTCTGTAAGACCGTATGAGCTCTGTTATTGCCAGCCACAGTCAGGTAGACCACTAAACGACTGAATCCATCCACCCCACCGTGGACAACAAATCTCCACCTGTTGCAAAGACATGAAAACATACAACTTTATTGTGAAACAATTGTAATGAAACATCTAGAACGATGAATTGTTTATCTGCTAATATCACTGACCTGATGAGCTTATGGTGGCCATCTATATGCCACAAAGAGTTTGGGCCAGGCACAAAATACTGCCGTCGCCTTAATACACGCAGCCTCAGACGTCTCATGTAGACTCCCTCTGCATCTACTCTGCGTAAAGACTCTTGCAGTCTTGAGACTGAGGGGAGGAACATCCGGACAGCTGAGAATATTACTGTCAGATATTGTTCCACCTCTATTAAACAGGAGGCTAAAAATCACAGGACATGTCTATCCTGATGATAGAAGTCAGCTGTCCTGAAATGTGTGTTTCTCTTCTATTATACACATTCTACATCTCAGAGGCGATGTCTTTCCAAAAGCGGGCTTCCTTCAATGGATCAGACTAGATTCGCGTTAGCCCCGCCCACTGACTTTGATGGGTCAGTTTGACAGTTTTAAGTAATTCATGAAGCGCTGCAACGCAGGATCATGAAATGTAAATGTAAATAGTGAAATAGTTATATATGCATTTTACATACAATGAATCGGTATTTTAATTAATTAATGACACATTTAATGACACATTTATTTATTTAATTCCAATTTTAATTAATGAATGACACATTTAAGTAATTATTTAATGGTGTATTTATTTATTTAATTGTGGCACTTTTAGTCCTCCATAGTTCACGAGTGTTTAGCTCATTTGCATGAATGGGATCGATTGAATTAAGTGAACTGCGTCATCAAAGTTCAAATCGAGAAATAGGCAAAGTCAAGCACCTCAGTAACGTCGGTGACGCTTGCGTAATATCAAAGATGCAATAATAAAACGAACCTCCCGCCAGCGCAAACTTCCTGATAGGCTTTTTGGTTGCCAGGTTTGGCTCAAAATATCCCCCAACGCCGTGAGCATAATATTCCATTAGACCGTAGCATAACGACAGTGACAAAAATATCTACTATAATAACGTATACGTATATATAATAAAATAAACAAATGTAAAGCTACAATCAAAAATGTCGAATGAAATTAGGAATATAAACATTTTGTAAAAAAACGGTATTTCTGCAAACCTGTCAACCTGGTTTACAAGACACGCCCACATCCGCAATGTTCGTAGTGTGGTGACGAATAATATAAAACCAGATTTGTAAAGTACAGGAACACATTACTTAATAGCTTAAAAGTATATTGTCAGTATTGTAGCTGTTTAATGTCATTTAAGTATCTATAACCGTATTGTAATATCAGCCCCATGCCTTAAATGGCAGAACATTATCTATCTGATTATCTTAAAATAAGCAAAAAATATGCAAACAAAAGGAGAACTGTTTCATCTATAGAACGCTGCCATGTTTTCACGTTATTCCAGGTGTGTCACGTGTCTTTTGTATATCAAATGTACTGAAACGCCATCTTGATTACACGGGGTATCCTCACGGAGCAAGGAAGCAAACAGCAAACTATTTCCGCTCCACTCGATGTGGATTTAGTCATATATACACATATATATGTATACTGTACTGTAAACCACACGACACAACATTTGGATTTTGATTAAGTAATTTCTAGGCTTGGAGAGTGAACAGGACGGGCTAGTGGCGCAATGGATAACGCGTCTGACTACGGATCAGAAGATTCCAGGTTCGACTCCTGGCTAGCTCGAGGTTTTTCTTGCCAAATATATTATGCTTTTGATAAAATATATAAAGTAGAACCTACATGTAATTAATATTTTAGTATAATAAGACGACCATAGACCACTTCTTACACACAGATAGTGCTGGATTGTTGGAATCACATTGCTGCCGCAATTCCACCAAGAAAGAGCCAATCAGGTTGTATTAATGCGTTCAGATTCGTGCGCCTGTCAACAAAGGGGACTCTTGCTAGTAACCAAAATTCTACCCAATGTATTTTTTTTGGCAAATCAGCGCATTTATCGCTGCCTGGCTTCGTCCAAATAACGTCAAATAAGAATTGACCTTTCCAATGCTTCGAAAATAATATGGTTTCTCTTTATTTTATAATCATTTTAGTATGTTGCTTGAGTATTTCAATTGTATTCTGTAAATCGCCGTTTTTTACTGGACTCACTATTAGTCACTATGTTAGCCTCATGAAAATTATATTTTTTCATATTTAACTGGAAGATTCTTTACTCGATTCTTGCCGTGATATTAGTAATTATAGTATACTAAAATATACATAACCCCACTGCTGGTCTCAGATGTGACACGTGTTATAGATGAAAAGTCGCTACGCTGTTTACGTGCGCTGACGTGACGTCATCGGGGCGGTTTCTGCCCATGCTCACCGAGCGGCAGGGAGATCGGCCCGACTGCAGCCGATTAGATGCCTCGCAGTGATGTAACGTCGCCTGCTCGGTGACTCCGGATGGCTGTCTGTGCCAGGCTCTGCGGAGTGGGTCAGTCGCGGAGATGCCGGAGGCGACAGGGGCATAATCAGCAGGACCAGGGCAGCGATTCGGACATGGAGGAGGAAGAAGAGGAGCAGATCGTTGGGCCGACGCAAGGCGACGGAGGCGCAGCAGGCGCCGCCGCTGCTGCAGGGCCGAGTGTTGCTCGTGAAGATGGCAGCTGTCATGTCAACAGAGCAGGCGCTCTGGATCGCGGCGGCACGGGACCTCCGCGCCCGCAGTCGTTAGCGGATTTACCGCCGGAGCTCCTGGTGGAGATATTCTCCCTGCTGCCCGGAACAGCGCTACCGAGTGTCGCCCTCGTAGGCAAGAAATTCCGACAAATCCTCAACACAGAAACCATCTGGAGAAGGCGGTGCATGGCAGGTAATTATAGCGACGGCTGCACGTACAGATAGTGGAGACGCTCACGCACACCGTTAGAATGCGCCCCCCACCCCAAACATGAGGCAATATATCTGTGCACCAGACCGGGGAGATTCCTTTCTGTAAACAGGTTATTCGTGCCGCGGTTACTCCGAAGTGTGTTTGCTTAAAAGCATTTTATAGATCCGGACGGGAAGCGTAGAATACATTAAGGTTAACACAGTCACTGCTGTGCACACGGGCCAAGGTCTCTCTCTGTTATGAGGCCTGTGTCAGCCATTCCGTGCAGCTGATAAGATGTTTCCGCGGGTGGGACCTGACCTTTTGGGGGCCTCGAACATTAGTTTTGAACGGTTTTGTTGTGACATATGTATGAGACTGCCCTACTTGGGACAAATGTGTCTAATAATCTGTACATAATACAACACAAATACTGTGAAATAATATTTGTAATAATTTTAACAATCAGTGCATGAAATATGATAACAGGTTTTTATATGGGAAATGCAATTTTGTGTGATGATATACTTTTCTGATATATCGAATGAAAAGTTGTTAATAGTCTTATAACCAAACAAAGCAGTTCTGCAACATTGTCCACAATAGTAAATTAAGAAATCAGTCACACTGACGACAGCTAGCAAAGTCAGCTGATTCAGAGTTACATGAACCACATTAACATAGACCTTAATAGCAGTCAAATAGATCCTACTGCCGGCATAAACATTTACAGTCAACCGCTAATGCACGATTAAAAGCTGTAAATATTGCAGCGTTAGAACTCCGTCAACAATCTACTGATCTACTGATCAATCTACAACAATCTACAATCTGTTTAGTGCATTTTAATTAATAATGATAAAAAGGGACAAAACAACAATAACCTCTCCTAGTGACCGTACTTTCAAAACGTTCTTCTTTGGCTTCTTATAATCACTTATGTACTTATGTAAACCCCCTCAATCAACATTATGTCATATTTTGCATGAATTTGAAGTAAATTTAATGTTGAACTCATTTCTCTCTTGTTTTTTCTCTCTGCAGAGTTTGATATGAAGGAGGATCTGAGGAGGATGGAAGTTGGAGGAGTATCCAGCCGGGACCTCTATGTTGAACGTAAGTTACACTGCAGCTTGTGAAGGTCTGATGTCACCCACCAATAAAGTATTTGGTGCAGTCGTCCACCATTGGTTCATTCGTGATTTGCACCCTCATGTTTTTTTGTGTATAGTTTCGCAGATCATCCAAATTACTTTGATTTGCAAAAGACAGGAAACAGTCCCAGCAACTGGAATACCACAATTTTAATTTCATCTGCTCCACTAATCCGTTCCTCCATCTGTTACTGGGCTTAGTCCTTGTCTGCTCCACACTTGCCTGTGTTGTGCCTGTCCAGGTGTCAACCCACGGGTGAAGTCCGGGCGCTTTAAGAAGCTCCTTCCGGACTACGAGCGCATGGACTATAAAGACGTGTACAAACGCTGTGTGTACACGGGCCTCAACGCGGATGGCTGCTGCGCGAGGGGTTGTGCGAGTGGGACTCATTGATTTAATTTGCAAGCAAACGGCTGCGGCAGTGTTACGTATTCCCTTTTTGAACGATGTTCTCAATTGTCCTCAGTGCTGTTTGCTTGCATATTAAGTATGAAATGGGAAACCCGATTACTTGGTGTGCTGTGTATTCAGTTTGGACTGGTGGACAGGACGCGTCCGTTGACGCTTTCTTACCTTTGAAAGTGGTGTTTGTAGGTATTAACAACTCTTCTTGTGTTTGTAACCATGCACAGTTTTAGCCCATAGTAAAGCTGTTACATTACAGATACTGATTGTATGGTGTGATATTGTGCTGTTGTGTTGCAGTGCTACACCCGTTCAGACATATCTTGGGCTTATGGCAGCCTGACATAGGGCCTTACGGGGGATTGCTCAATGTTGTGGTAAGAAGTGTTTCTCCATCAAGGCATTTGCAAAACGATGAGAAATGATGACAATAGTGTGCAGTTTGCCGATTGTCCACTGTTTTTAATTAATCTGAAAATCCGGACGTTAGCATATTTTTAGAATAATTTCAATGGTTCGTGAATTATTCAAAGTATTTTTCATTCAGGTGGATGGGCTGTTCATCATCGGCTGGATGTATTTGCCACCTCACGACCCCCGTGTGGAGGATCCCATGAGAAGACGGCCGCTCTTTCGTATCCACATGTTGGAGAGCAATAAGGCCACCATGGAGTGTATGTACGGACACAAGGGGCCACACAAAGGAGACATCCAGGTGAGAGCCTGCACAGCCCAAATAAAGCACCTGCTCTGGATCATCTGGATATTTCTGACACATTTTAGAAGAACATTCCACTTCATTGTAAGATTACAAATTGATAAAGTATGTTACGTTTTAATATGTGTGCCGTGATTCTGTTATTTTAAGACTGGGAAGAAGGATGAGTTTTCAACAAAGTGTAACCAGACTGATCATCACCGCATGCCAGGAGGCAGACAGGAGGTGAGGCAGTGGTTGATACCGGAACTATTCCCTTGTCTTGTGTATCTTTTTAAAAGCCCATGTGCTTTGATGATGTTGGAAAGGCTGTGAGCAGCATTCTACTGATTTCTCTAACTTGTGTGTGTGTAGGAGTTCAGGACGTGGTTGGAGGAAGAATGGGGCCGGACACTTGAAGAAATCTTCCACGAGCACATGCAGGAGCTCATTCTGATGAAGTTTATTTACACTAGTCAATATGAGTATGAGTCTTTTTCTTACATCACACTTTCTCTAACGCTGACTTAAAGATTGTGCGCCTACGAATCTGTTACTGTTAAAAAAGTATTGCGAGAATGGCTTGATATATTTGTGGATAGCTCTGATTTTCACTTGTGAGTGAATGTAAAACTGGGCTATGAAGCTCCGATGCCCTTTGCGGCGGCCACCATCTCCACTTTTATGTAGTTTATAATGTAAATCGTTTGTTGCATATATTACAAATATTTGGTGAAATAACAATACTCAACAATGGCAAAAGTCAATTTTGACCATTATTGTTTGCTTCGATTTAACAGTAACTGCTTGACATACCGGAGGATCTACTTGCCACCTTTGATGCCCTCTGACCTTTTCCATCCGGGCCTCTTCAAAGGCACCTACGGCAGTCATGGCTTGGAGATCGTCATGCTCAGTTTCCACGGGATCTATCTGAGAGCCACCAAGCTCACTGTAAGCTGATGAACAATCCACATCAGAGGCTGTGCTTCTGTTAAAAAAATAAGCTGTACAATTAATTTCCAAACAGTAAATGAATAGTGCATGTTGATTTTCTTGCAGGGAGACCCCAATGTTCCTGCAGGGCAACTCACTTTAGATGTTGACCTGAGCCGGCCTGTCGTCCTGCCAGACTTGGAGCACCAGCGCAACATAGAGGAACTGTCCCGCCTGGTACTGGAGGTCCACGCAGAGGTCCAGAGAGAAGAGCAGGAACAGGCCAAGGACGCTCCTGCCGCAAGCCGAGGGGCAGCAGAGGGGGCCTGCGGTAACGCCAGTGCAGCCAATTGGGTGGAGGAGGGCCGTGTTGCCTGTTCACACAGTTGCCAGCCCGGCCCCAGCACCAGCACCAGTCCTCCCGAAGCCCAGCCCTTTGTCCTGCCCCTGGGAGTTATGGCACGCAATGAGGTCTACCCGCGCACCTGTAGAAAATGGTAAGAACTCGCCTGTAAGGAAAAAGCATGAAGTATACATTTTGCAGAGTGTAGGGGGGATTGAATTGGTTGGAGCTGGCTTTGCTCCAGTAACAGTGGTGTTAGACACAGTGCGCTGATTGTTCCTGAGCTGTCTTAAGCTTATACGCTGTTTAAAGTCCAAAAGGCTGAAAGCAGCCGCTAATCAATGCTTGTCAGTAATGTTGATGTTTTATGGATAAACATGGTTAATTAACAAAATACCAAAATTATCATGGGGATTTTGGCTTCCCTAATTAATTGCAATCTGCAGGAGGAGCGGAACTGCAGATTGCAGTTTTTTTTAATGTATTTGCGTGCTGTGGTGGCACCCTCAAAGAAAAGACACTAATTTCGAATATGGCTGTGGATAATTGTAAAACAACATTGCTTTTATCACATATTCCCAATTTATTCATCTTCATAAATCCACAAAAAGGTCTGTGCTGAAGACTTAACAACCCATTGCTAGCATGGTTTACAAGATTTTCCCAATAAGTAAAAACAGAATAAACCGAAATAAACTGAGCAACTAACTCCCTGGTTAAATTACACTTCTACCCATTGAAACCTATATCAAAGGAGTATTGATTGGGTGATTTATGAATTGATGTGCCTCCATTTCAGCTTCTATGGTACAGGCCTGATCGCTGGTCACGGCTTTACGAGTCCCGAGCGCACCCCGGGGCTCTTTGTGCTGTTCGACGAGGACCATTTTGGCTTCATCTGGCTGGAGTTGAAGTCGTTCAGTTTGTACAGCCGGCTGACGGACCAACTAGCTCACGCTCATGCCCCAAATATGAAGAGATTTGAGGCCATGCTGTTTAACATGCAGTCCTGGACATCCTGATGCACCACGTTCTAAGCTTCACCCCACAACACAATGCATAAAAGCAACCATTTTACACAAATAATCTCCTGCCGCCCTTTGAGTCGTGACCTATGACTCACCGCGATAGCTCATCGCCGCAATTGTCCCCGTGTTATTGGTATGTTTCTCAAACATTTGGTTTTATTGTTTGGTTGTATCACCCTGATCTAGCGCTCTTATGCTCCTGTTCCCATGCAAGCACTTTAAAAGGCCTCCCCAGGTCACCGTTTATCAGCCCACCTCAGAATGACCTTTATCCTCTACTGCAGCATGAAAACGGGTCACAGTAATCCTTTTTTAAATTTATTTATTTATTTCCCCCAAGGCGAAAAGGAATGATGTTTCTGATTTCTTATATTATGAATCAAACTGTACGTGCCTCCGATTCTAAAACCATGTCTGTAACTTGATAGCGCTTGAAGACGATAAAAGTGTCCAATGTATTCTACTATAAAGCATTACTCGGAGTTAAGTGCCCAACATGTTGAAATGCATGCTGCATTTGGTCTTATCTCATCTCATCTCACCCTTATCTGAATCTTTTTCCTTTGTGTATTTTGCTTAAAAAAAAACTGCTTCTCGGATGTTTTTCTCTTCATCACAAATCAGTGAAAAGTTAATTATTTATGTGAAGTTCAAAATCTTTTTGGTAGTTTGTCCAGTAAAATACTGAGTGAGTTTCACAATGGGGTAATTTTGTCCCCTTTGACAAGTGAGGGTGTGCTGTCTTATCAAAACACAGTAGATAAAACAATCAGCCAGTTTTGGCCCTTTTGAACTTCATAGATTGTGATATGACCTGGCTCATGGTACTACATCACACACACACCTTTCATGTCATCACGCTTGACATAACATTATGTAAGTGGGAAAGATGTGTAGTACTGCAATAGAGTGACATGACCTTTACATAAGCTGGTCTGATATTCAAGTTATACCGTTTATGTGCTTGTATAATTATCTGAAACTTTTCTTGAAATGTGTTTGTTGTGTTTAAATGGCTGACCTATCATTTGCCCGGCTTTCCAACTGCAAAGTTGTTCCCTCCAGTTTTCCAAATAATTTCCAACTTGAGACCAGGCTATTTGCACATTATACAAAATAACAGCTCAAAGTACTAAGTAAGTGTCTATTTGTCTCCTTACAGCCGATGATGATGGGGTTGCTCAGTAGCTTCCTTAGTTCAAGTGCACTTTCCTGGGCAGTATAGTGAATCATTCAGCCAGCACTTTTATATCGGACTGCTGCTTTACTAACATTTGCAAAATAAAAGTGTCTGCTTATCAATTTTTCTTTTTTTTATTATTTCCTCTTAATTTATTTGACATTCTCATATATATCCTAAGCCCTCTGTAGCTCGCTATTGGAGTGATTTGCCTTCAGAAAAAAAAGAAATGTTACTTTCTACTATTTACAATGCCACACGCTTGATTGTGGGGAAGTTTGACCTATTGAACAGCTCATGTCACACTTCAGGGAGCTTTTCAGCTTGAGCGCTCTTCTCAGTAATAAAAAATACAAAACTGATCAAATCTGTAGTCTCCCTTTTCGGCGCAACTATCACCTCATCCCATTCTCTCCTTGCAGTGTCACAGTTGAATTTTGATAATAATGCAATTAGATGTTGCATCCCCTCACACACCATCCTTAACTGGCCTCAGCCCAGTGTGCTGTTGTTCTTTAAAGTATAATGTTCACCTCACATAGCACATTATTAAACTGATGAAGGACCCTCCATCTAATTCAAGCCTAACAACCAATGTGTGCAATTGTCTTGCTCTGTAATAAGAGTGAATGACGTTGTTGCGCAGTATAGTATCACATGCAATTAAATAGTACAATATTATTCCACACAATTCCAGAGGATTCATATTATTTGTTTTAATTTACATTGAAATCCAGATACTAAATATATGGCCAAACACAGAGATGGTATCTTACGACATATTTCCTCTTGGGCTTTTAGTAGAGCTTGAATTCCAACTGATCAATAAACACAGGTCAAAAGTATTCTCCCAACTAAGTTTAATGCATCCTGTCATAAAAGTTCACATGGGATTTGAAAAACAACGAAAGATGCATTTTGAAAAGGAAGTCCTCTCCTAAATACAATTATCACATTAATGTATCACGTTATTTCTATATTTTTCTAATTAAATCAATTAATAAAGAAGGACGGCACGGAGAAAGGAGAGGCTACTGCTCTACAGCTCGTTGCGCTCCAGCTTCTCTTTGTATTCTCGGCTCTTCTCCGGGAGAGTCTGAGTCAGGAAGACAAACTGGTCTTTCTTCAGGTGATGACCAGTTGTCTGCTCCTTTGCATCAATTGACAAGTATCCTTCTTCTGCTCCGTACTTTGGCCAGAGGACGAGGCCGTCACCATTGGGACACCTACGTGCGCGCACGTGCACAAGTTAAAAATAGTCTTATGTCCATGTGTGTTATTGCTCGTAATAAGATGAATTCTCACCTAGTGCGAGCAAAGTTTCCCCAGTAGCTCATCATGATTCTGCTCAGCTGTTCCTCCACTTCATCGCATGCCACTAAAATGATGATCATTGTGTAAGACACTTCGAACTCAGGAAACACAGACCTTTGGTGGTCTATTGATAAAGCAATTTCTTTTATATGTGCTTACCGCTTATTTTGACGTGGGTAGTTGTGAAGCATAATCCAAATACATGCAGATGAGATCTTTACAGTATTTGGATTTTTATCACCATTGGCTATGAGGCCAAGCTTTGTTGGCAGTGACTGCCAACAAAGCTTGGCCTCATAGACTGCAGGAATGTGGGAGCATGCTTGTACTCATACAGATACACGGGAGCACCGGCATCTAGTCGTGGAGGAATGGCGGTCATATACTGTATCTTGTCCGAGAACGTGTGTGACAGTACAATATCTTGAGTAAATAAAATACCTCTATGGGCATTAGCAGTCTTGATTGCTGGAATGGTGAACATCATGTCTCCAATAATCTTAGTGAACGCATCTCTATTTTTCAGACGATCTTCCCCTCTTCCAGTGTATTCATCTGTGATCAAATCTCTGAAGAACATATCTTTGGGCTCGAGGAAAAGAGCCAGACGTCTATTAGAAATGTTTGACCATGATAGAGCGAAACAATATTGTAATGTTGAGCACTTTTCGCCTTACATCAGGGTAGAACATGAATAGCAAGTTCTCAACATGCTCCCAATCCATTCCCTCGGTCCAGTTTGGAGGAGCAAAGAACTAAAGGAAGACAACCAACATTTCAGACATGCACCATTGCAGAACAAAACCAAGTTTCCAGGGGCTCATCTGTAAGCTTGTCAGTCACACAAATTTCAGTAGCATTCAGGCTTACGCTAGAAATTGACCAGCCCCCTTCATCGCTATTGACGCCGGTCATGAATGGTATGGTGAGGAGTTCATGTGTCTGGTACAGCTCATCCACCGGTTTTGTCAGGAAGACTCCATCAACATTCAATGGAATCCTCAGTGCCACATCCTTTAAAGAATAAAATGTGCAAAAGTTGGGATCAATATGTCTAAGCAAAATAAATGCATAAATAGGCAGATTCCATTAAGTCAGTCAATATGAGTCCTGCACAGTCGACAGAATTGTGTCAAGATCGAGGTTTCTGATGCAATCAGCGATCTTCTCTGTGCTTTCGAGGCTACAGACAGTTTTATTTGCTACCACCTGAGGGCCGATATGAGAGATCCATCTCACAAATATAACACAAATGGTCAAATATGCAATGAATAATGTTTTACATGACAAAAGAGAGATAAGAATAGTTAACCTGCATCGCTGGGACAGGATCATTTGCGAGGAGTAGTCTGATTGCAGCAGTTCCACTCTCAGCAATGGCATGGTGGAACAGGCCATCAGACAATGGTGATAAAAGCTGTTGATTTATGCAGAAAAAAAGAGTACTGCTGAGAGTAGAGATTGTGTTGTGACATAACTATGAAATATTTGCAAAAGAAGCAAGTTGAGTTTCATCATCTGCAGATTGATGCTTACCAGGAGGGACACACTCACTCCACCAGCAGACTCTCCAAATATGGTGACCAAATCTGGGTTTCCTCCAAAGTTATGAATGTGCTGCTGGACCCACCTCAGAGCTTCTACTTGGTCCAGCATTCCAAAGTTCCCTGACATGTGCTCATCTCCGGTGCTTGATACAGCATAAAATTATGTTCAACACCGGCTGATAAGAGCAACCCAGTTATGAATTATTATTAACTTCAAATACAAATACAAAAAATAGCAACCCTCCTCTGCTTAGTAATTTAAATACTTTTACCTGAGAAAGCCCAGAAATCCCAAGCGGTACTGGATAACAACCACAACCACGTCCTGATAGGTAGCCAGGGCAGAGCCGTCATACAGTGAAGCGGCCCCAAAGATAAACCCTCCACCATGGATCCAGACCATGACCTCGTAAGGCAATGAAAGACCTTTATATTTTCCACACAACATTAACCACATTTGTACCTTTTTTCGTCTCTGAGCTCACAAAAACCTTGCTCAAACTAACTCAAACTAAAATTGGAATGTGACAAAAAACAAGACTGATGGAAAAGAAAAACAGAGCATCAGTCTCTTTGCAGTTGGGTTCCAAATATGGGCATCGCTACTCATATTACCATTATGGATTCTATGGACCACCAATAGTTATGCATCACTCAAAAACATGCAGCAACTTACTGGCATCTTGGTACCGGGAGCTTTCTTTGCAGAAGTGTAAATGTTGAGGTAAAGGCAGTCCTCTGAAATGTCTTGGACACCAACTAACACAGCACCATACTTAGCAATGACATCTATTGATAACTGCTTCACTTGAATACACCTGAGGGAAAAGAAATTCACAGTGAAAACTGGATGTAAATCTACAAGTGTGTTATCAAGCAACAGAAGCCGATGAAGGCCCTACCTGGGTGGCTGCTGGGTGGCATCTCTCACACCTTCCCATCCCTCTGCAGGCTGGGGGGCAGCCAGTCTCAGAGCAGGGCCTATGGGTGGCTTGGCAAATGGGACTCCCAGGTAGGCGTGGACCCTGGTTTCCCTTTACACTCACATACTGACCTCTAAGGGCCCCCAACTTTGTGTGGACTTCCGGAGCTGTCGGGATATTAGGAATTATTCAAAATCATAATGCGAAGCAATATTTCAGTTTAAGTTTCAAGAAAAATGCGTCGAAGTCAAAAAGAAAATCATCCATGTATTGTGTGTCTGGTTTCAGTTACTTTAAGCTTTTGCAACTGACAAGTGGACAAGTTTGATTTGTATTGTCACGGACATAATTTTCAAACATGTATCTCAAAATGAAATGTAGAGAGTGCTGGGCATTCCTTTTTTTCATTGTGTAGATCTAAGCTCTACAATAACCTACTAAGAAAATACAGACCATAGAAATAAAACATCTATTTGAGCAGTTTTAAAGCATTGTGTAATACTTTTGATACCCACTGTCATTCCTATTCAGGGCCCAACAGTAGTCTGTTTCCAAACATGGGCTTTGCTGCTGAGATAGCAGAAGATAAGACCTCATTGCGAGTTTCACATTTATTAGACACTTGCATAGCACATATGAAGGTCAAAGTCGACTTCACTTCCATCGAGGCGCCACGAAATCCAAACAGAAATGCAAACAGATTGAAATTATTTCCAATTAGAAATACATCAAGAGACGATATGATGTTCTAATACTCGAGCGGATCTCTGTTATTCACATTTAAAGTGCAATCAGATCTCCATACAGCAGCGTAATACGTGGGTCATTGTCCCCATAGTTATTGTGCAAATAAAGGACTTTTCTCCTTCTTACCATGAAGGTCTGCAGCAACATCGAGAAACAACGCAGACGTCAGAAAGACGAAAATGGGTTTTGCACGGAAGTTCATGGTCGTCGTCTGGGTGGATTACGACACTGCTGGCTTTGAAATGAAAAGATCAGTTTTCCTATCTCGCTCCTCTCCTGTTTTAAGTGTGCGAACACAACACGTGACTCCTTGAGTCCTTTACTGTAGCGAAAGGTCACGCCGACAGAAAGAAGACCGCCTCATTTTACGCCTCACTATTAGTATGATCACTGTACATGTTGCATCTTGATTAGTTCGGTAACCACGTTTTGCCGGTGAGTGATTGAACCGGGAGTCCGATGCTGTAAATATTTTGCCAATTTAACTAAACTCTATTGACTAATCCTCCCAATAACAACTATTCTGCACTATCTAAGTAGATCTCTCAATAATTACTGATTTACTACAACTGCCGGCCGGGAGGTTCAACAATGAATTCGAATCAACTATTAAATATTATTCACAATAAAAGTCCACCATAATTAATCAGAAGCCCATTTAATCAAAATAACAGCTATAGTACAACATTACTGAGCTCACTATTGTATGAAATGATTGTGGTCATGCTACCAATCATCAACAGTGAAGTTAATGAATATTTTGGTATTTTAACCTCTTAACTTCGTTTTGGTCAGCAACGTCTGGGTTGCACTTGTATATTAACATTAGCATGAATGCAGGGATATGATGTAAATCTTCATCTCGGCGTTTTCATGCGGGCTAGTGGCGCAATGGATAACGCGTCTGACTACGGATCAGAAGATTCTAGGTTCGACTCCTGGCTAGCTCGTCTTTTTTACCCGTTCGCTCAGGCAGAGGCAGCAAAAAACTGATATTTGTGCAAAACATATATATTTTTTCCCCCTAAAAAATGTGATTTCGGGCGTTGACATTTACAATGTATTCCCAGAGTGCCTGTATGATCAGAATGACACAACGTAATAAAATAAACTGTGAAATTATTTAAATGTATTTAATTATTACCTTTTGTTCCATACCACCCACCATGACAATTCCCTCACATGTCTAACATACTTTGCAAATAAATGTTTCTGATTCTGATTCTTAAATCAAACACAACATGATGGTTTCATTTAAAGCCGTTTTGAGACAAATAACTAACAATTAACAAGCTTAAACCATTAAACTACTACAAAATAAAGTAATTGTCAACAAATCGATAAGAAAAGTTGTTGTTAAGGTTAAGTCATCGGATCAGCTTACATGTAGTTGTACTGTTCTGTGTGCTGCTTTTTGTGTTCCCCCTAAATGAGCGAGGAACCGCCTGCGCGAGGAACAAACCAAGGCGAGGTCTCATCTCTCGCGAGGAACGACGCCGTTATCGGAATCCCTACAAACAACACGAGAATTCAACATCCACACGGTAATATAACCCAATCTTACATGGTCAGTAGTGGGAGGAAAGAAGCGGATTCAAAACAGCAGTTAATTGTTATTTCTTAGATCAGTTTACGTTGGTTGCTTTACACTTCGGCGGCCTTTAGGCCCCATTTAGCATGCTAACTGCAACGCTAGCTTAGAGACCAACTCAATTCCGTCGCCTCGGTTTTAACGTTAGCATGCGAGCTGGCAAATCCGATTTTGGAGTCGTGCTAACTTAGCTACATTAGCTAATATGTTTCCGCCCATGCTACATTGCTAGCGGGAGTGCAACATTGGACGTTTATGCCTAAATGCACTGGTATAAACGTTAGCTAGGATTCACCTAATGGTATTATATACATTTCCAGCCAGCTAACACGTGAATATGGACGGTTCATATCCTTAATGTTACCGATAGCTAACTTCATTTAGACTGTCAATAGACCCCCGCCCAGTTAGCTAGCTAGCCACTGCGGTAGTTACGTTAGCTAACGCTGAAAGTGGAGTAATGTTAGCGATGTAAACGGAGTTACGGTTTACTCAATATAGAGCCAGCAATACTTTGTCGGTGTGCTTTAATTACGCAACACCGATTAGCTATTTGTAGATGAGCCTAATTTAGTAAAAAAAGACTTGTAACCCAACTGCTATAGCTTAACGTCATCTCAAGAAGATGACATTGACAGTCAGACAACTTCATAAAGTGCTTGGGGTTCTGCAGTTTTAAGTTATTTGTTCTCGTTAATAATTTCATTACGTTGAAATCCACGCTGTCATGATTGAAATACGCCACGTGAAGAGGAATTGACCTAACGTGGTAACTTAACAGACGAGGACATAATGTCTTAATACCTGTCGTTAATATTACTCTCCCTTTCCCCAAAAAACACACATGACTGTCCCTTCTGTGACTGCCTGGATCATATACATGCTGCACACCTACACAATAAACAGATCCCTCCCCTTAAGTGATTGATAAAGTCAAAATCCATCTTTAAATATGTATCCTAGATTTACAGTGAAAGGTTGTTGAGAGTGGTTATAAGGATACTATTGAAGCATGCTGTAGTAGTTTTTTTTTTCCATCAACCATAACTATATTTTTTTACAACAATCTACAAATAATACATTTTAGAAGCTCTACATTTGACTGTCACTCAAGATTTGATAAGATACTTATGTGCCCCAATAGAAGCTCAAATAAGTCATTAGAGATGTAGTGATCACCTAGAACTTCTTAACAATATTTAGCATTACATATAGTTTGCATACATTTACATAGACAGCAGAAATTTATGCTCAGTGTAGGTATGAAATGGTGAGCAAGAGGAAATAACTAATAACGATTTATATATTTTTTTGAAAGTTCTTAAGTGCATATTCACCATAATGCAAACAACATAATATATCCTTTCTTATGGTAGGATGTATGTAAATGCATATTTGCTCTCTTGTTAGAGGCTAAAGTTTTGCTATCATCTTATTTCAGTTGTGAACAATGTCTGAACAAGAGTTGGATGAAATTGTGCAAATAACTGTGGAGGACTTTAACCCGGATGACCGGACAGGTATGAGTCTTGTGATGCAACATGAAAACCATCTGTTTTTTACATATAAAAAAAAAAAATTCGTCCTTCGGCAGGGAGTGCAAATATTCACTACCAAGAAATTTGCTACACACTGATAAGAAAAATATTTTTTCTCCACTGATAAGAAAAATATTTTTTCTTATCAGTGTGTAGCAAATTTCTTGAATATTTGCACTCCCTGCCCGCTTGATGAGTCGAGAGGTATATTGGATGCAGCACCATCAAAATGTACATTTAATATGCATTTAATACGATGCTGTGTGTTCTGTAAATGTGAATTATTAAGAATTCTTGTCTCCATATTTGATTCGTGCCAGACATGTTGGACAATCATGAAGACGATGATGAAAGGCTTCAGAAGAAGAAAAGAAAATTAAGTATCAGCCAAGAGAATAACAATAACAATAACAATAACCAAGACATATTTTTTATTAAGGTAACAGCTCATTATACCAGGACTCTGTCTAAAGCTCATATGTTTTTATGTATTTAAAATATGAGGAAATTACTTCAATTTTACTGACAAAATTGTATTTTTGTCTGCAGAATCTGTTGGTCTCATTTACCGCATCAATCAGCCAGCGACTGGAAGGAATTGAATCAAGGTTATATTCCCTCGATGCTACATGCAAAGCCCTTGGACGCAAACTAGACAACATGTTGCCATGTGCAAAGAGTCCCATCCAGGTTCCTATGGTGGCAGGGTCTCCTCAGGGGGCCACTCAAACTTGGAACAAAGTGCGATGGTAAGATGCAAGTTTTTCCCTTTGTTTCATTTTGCACCATTAGCAATTAGTCTCCACTAATTGTCTCCACAGTAAAATGCAGTTTAATGAGTCTTCATCAAAATATTTTATGATGCAGAAAACGGTCCGCTAAGCATACACGCATGTGCCCGTTAACCAATGTGTGTGTTACTTCTTGTTTAGTGTGGTTCCACAAACAAATGTGATAGTGAGCAGTGAACACCCGAAAGGCACGAACGATGAAGACAACCCTTTGGAAAATCTGCTAAGCAAGTGAGTGGCTCACATTTACACTATTTGCTCAGTGTGCCAAAATGATGCCTAATGACGTCAGACATGGGAACGTCTCTATTGGGTTATTATTGTAAAACACCAGCGTGGAAACGTGTGACCTTTCTGCCAAATTAGCTGTTTTCAATATAAAATAGGTCTCATAAGATATCTGTTCATCTGCATTCTACATGCACCTGTAATGTCAGTATCAGTTAAGTAATCCTGTGTGCGGGCTTACTGTCAATTTCCCCTGTAGCCTAGCGTATGTTGTCGAGCTGGTAAATGTTTAGCGTGCTATATTGACCATATGACACGTTCTCCGCTATATTTTACAGAAATATCCTTGTTTCCCTTTAGATAGTCATACTGTTTTTTATCAAAACCTGAACAAAGCCACGGCAGCCAGGTGAGATTAGAGAAACTCACACTCATCCTTAAATAATTGATAGTCTTTTACATTTAATTCTGGAGTTACTTTAAATTGTTTTTCTTGTGTTTAGAGTAGAATTCCTTGTGTTGGGGATTTCCGAAAACTGCCCCTACATGGCATGATTAAAAATGATGTTTGATTTGTTTTGTACCACGAGACTACTTAATTTAGACAATTCTCAAAAATGGACCTATGTTACTTATGATGTAGTGAAACACATCATAGTGCTTTATATGGTAGCCCTTATGACGATGGCAAATGCCAAGCTCGGTTAAAATGTCCTTTTCGTTCTAGTGGTTGTAAAACCTATTTATGAATATTCTATCAGAGTCCTGTCTTTTAATTGCCCAAACAGCAGTTGCTGTAATTGTGAAGGGCAAAAAACAAACCATTTTATCAGCGTGTTGGACGAAATCCCCTCGGTTTCACCAGTAGAAACTGGACTCTTGCTTTGCCCGACAACACAATTGAGACCTTCTAAAGCGTATCGTCTGAATATACTGTTAATGCCCCGTATGTAGCATTCTATAATATCGGTCAAGCTGAACACCTAATTCCTTAAAACAGGTTGCCGGTGCCATGATCCGTCTCAATCTGTCTCACACACTGTGGTCAAATATGTCTTTCTTTTCAGTACGGTGACAAGGAAGCGTCAAAACACAATCATGGTGAAGGTGCCGGCCCCCGACGAGAGTCAGGAGGAGCAAGACAGCTGCTCAGATGCCAGTGACACCGTTTCTAATGGGGGCCAGTCCAGCAACGCACAAAATGGTCAAAATGTTACACTCATCACACTCAATTCAGAAGGTATGACTTAACACTGCTCATTAGACACAAACACACACAAGTCTTGGCTCCGTCCTTCTTCATGAGGCCGATCGAGGGAGGCTCGGTGCTCAACACAACATGCAGAGCTCTTCAGAGATTCCTACTTTCTGAGGCCGGTGGGGCGTTTCGGTTGAGAAAAAACAACGTGTCCTACACTGCCGACTACTGGTCAAACGGTTTTCTAGGCTCTGAGGAGCAGCTTGTGGCCCTCAATGCGCCGGCACTCCTCCTCCAGGGTGTCCAGCTCCTGACCTACAAATTCAGCGTCCATGTCAGCTCGCGGCTTTGATCGTAGGTGACTCCACCATCGGGAACGTCCAAACAAGTTCAACAGTAACTTGATGTTTCCCCAGTGTCGCTGGTCTTGTTGTTTTGAAAGCCATTGTTTAGCATGTAAATGGTTTTATTAAGTACTCTATTGGTATTTGTTGTTGGAAAGTAGGAGAATGTGAGTACTTTTACTAGAAATTGTTTGTGGTCCGACCATCCATGACCATGAGCCACCGCTGCCTTAAATAATTGCCCCAATAGTTTTGTTCATGTTGAATTTGTTCAACATGGCTAACGGGCCTCATTCAGGTGGTGTCCTTGTTGAAGGAAACTTTGCTGATGTGTCAGTTCTATGCCCTCAGACCGCATTGATAAATGCTCTAATTAATCCTTCATGTTTTCAGTTGCTTCACTCTGTGGTTTTCTGCTGAGCTGGAGAGCGAAGTTGGCCGAGACATGTGCTAAATGTAAATCAGGTCCATGTTGTTGTAACTGTGTTGCTATTTACTGTGATTATTTGTGTGTTTTGTTTGTGATTTAAAGACGTTTCTGGTTATCTTCAAATGCAAACTAATCTGTTTTTCGCAGCTGTGGGTCACTGTGAACTGTGATAAAACCATTCGTCATTATTAGCTAGATGGTATCCAGAACTGTGCCTTATGATCGGTTTGTTTGTGTGGTGTGTTTAACAGAGAACATTCGCGTGAGCAAACTGCCAAGGCACGTATTACGCTTTGATACATCGGTGATAACACATTTTTGCCCACACTTCAACTAACTCTCATTCTCCGCCACAAGGCTGCGCTGTTGTATTACACACGTAAATCAGTGGCTCTATGCCAGTGTAGTGTTTGTCCACCTGTGAATGGAAGTGTGGTAGAATTTACATACTGCCCCAGATCTCTGTGTTAATACAGGCTTGCTGACAGAGATCTGTGTTTGAAAGACTGTCCCCGTCTCCCGTCTCCTCTAGACGATTACCCCGTGGGCACCTGGTTGGGAGACGAAAACAACACCGAGATGCGAGTTCGTTGCCCAGTCTCTGCGGCGGACATGCTCCACATCACCACAAACTGCCGCACAGCGGAGAAGATGGCACTGACTCTGTTAGACTACCTGTTCCACCGAGAGGTCCAGGCCTTGTCCAACCTCTCTGGTCAGGGCAAACACGGCAAGAAGCAGCTGGACCCGCTCATGATTTATGGCATTCGCTGTGAGTCCTCTTGTGTTGTCGTCGTCGTAACCAGCTGGCATGGACAGGCTATCGATTTCCTTCCAGCCGCTTTACTTTGGGAGACCCGGTGGTTAACATTATTTCACGATAACCAAGTTTACAGAGACGTGTGTTTTTTTACGTGCCGTTATCTAATTGAACTCTGAGGTGGTGATCTAGTGACCACTGTCTCGGTAAGGGGTAAAGGAACTCTCTGAGACCTTTCCCCATTTTATCGTAGCTCCATCACAAAGCAGCACCGGATTGAAAACAGAAGTAGAATGCGGTCTCTATTCCCAATGTGGGTTACAACAACGTGCATTAATCACTGCACACTAGCATTAATGTGCAAAGCATTTTATATAATACCAGACTTTAAATGACATGCGCATGTTTGGTTGAAAGATCCTCACGTCCAGGTCTTGAAAATGGACAGATGGAAATATATAAAAGTCATGTGACTATATAGTGTATTTGGTTCACATTGCTGTGCAAACAGCTTCTGCCCCCTGCAGGAGGCTTTAGTAAACATACCCTGTGGCACACATGAGACCTGCAGAGGCTGCAGCAGGGCCAGGGCATCTTTGAGTAAGTCATTCTGCCTGTATTAAAAAAAAAAAGCAACACGATGGAGGGACATGTGCCCTGCCGGTCTGTGCCGGACCCGTCCGGTGTGAAAGCGCTTCTCATTGATCTCCCTAACCAAAGCCCCCCTCTTCTTTCCGGCTTCATTGATTAATTTGTGTGGAAATGAGCTTCCAAGCGGGTCACCCCACTTCATAAACCAGAGGTAGACCGCCACTAAATACAGCTGCACCCAGGTGCACCTGCCACTTTCTTTGCTGAGGGAGGAATGAGGCACTGCACACAGACCGGTTCTCATCAAAGGGTGAGGGGAGCAGAAGTAAACAGAACCTGCACACGTATTTGTCCCTAGTTTTCACACACTTGTGCATTCATTGCAGATTGATTGTTCTGCCATGCATGCCGGACTGCTGTGCTTAATGTGCTAACAAGCAGCCCTCTCTGTGTCCCAACAGGCCACTTGTTCCACAAATTTCGCATCACTGAGTCAGACTGGTACCGCATCAAGCAAAGCATTGACTCGAAGTGTCGCACAGCCTGGAGACGCAAGCAGCGTGGCCAAAGTCTGGCTGTCAAGAGCTTCTCCAAACGAACGCCTCGTGGTACATCTGGAGGTACAGACTGCAATGCATGTATTTGTGTTACTTTCTGTGCATCAAGACCATCGATGGGACTAAATGGGACGTCCCCTCCGATTGCCAAATAAAAAGAGAGTTCCAGTAACAGTGAGCGAGATATTGAATCTGTTTAGAGAATGATGTGCGGTTCTCTAATCAAAGACCACCTCCCTCATTTACTTTAGGCTGATTTCTAAAACGTTAATGCATGAACATTTTTCTTTTGAAGTGAACCTTTTTTAAATGAGGAAAAAACATCTTTACAACCATCTGCCACCTTTCTTGTGAAATGCTTTGGGAGGGAGAACATTTATCTATGTTCTGAGAAAACGGAGCCTACCTGGCTCCGTTCGCTTCAAGTCTTTATCTGCTGTTAAGGTTGCTGCGTTTTTTCTGTTTGTTTTCTTGTCAAACAAGGTCCACAGTGTTAAATCAACCAAAAAGATCTGCTGCGGTTTCTATTTCTCATGCGCCAATGATGCCATCACTGGTTCTTCGTTTTAAGTAGTTGATTTAGTTACTGGTTTTCGTGGATTGGCATGTTGATCAGTGGGTTCGTATTTACGAAAGATTGTTTTTTTTTTTTAAATTGAATTGGTGCTCAACCAATTTGAAAGTAATGGAGGGAAATATTTTTGGAGTCAGTCTCTTTAACTTTATCATCTTGCTCGCTATGGCTTTCTAACAGTTTTCTATAAAATGTGTCTGGTTTGTCCACCTAAAAGCTTTCTGTATTAGCATTATGCTGGGCAAAAATGGTTTTGGTGCTATCAATTTAAGTAAACTACCGAGGTACATATTTTATGTGCACCCTTTTCTTACTCATTGGCCATTTTGCACCCTATAAATGTATTCACAGTTCCCAGTATTTATGGGTTTTTGATTTAGGAAATTGTTAAATAATCCACAAAACGTCCTACACGGTCAGCTCATACAGGACCTATTTTAGCAGCTATAAAGAAGATATTTTAAGACCTCAACCCAAATGCAGATGCATTGTGTTTTGCTGCAGATGGTTGTAATCTGCACACCATGCATGCTGTCCTTCCCTCCCTGTGAGCCTTGACCTCTGACCGAGGAAAAGACTGCAGGGGAAACCCAAATATCCTGCGAGTGCTCAAGATAGTCAGGCCACACACGCCCTTACAGTGCACAACACAAGTGCAAGACGGTGCAGGCACAAACGTGGATAGAGACACTCCAGACAATCATTCCTCCCTTAATTTGATTATGTGTTAATGGGCCAGAAAGTGTCAATTCGTCCGCTTTTAGAACCATTATTTCTTGGTAAACCAACAAGGAGAGCTTTAGTCACAAACCACTTGGCTCTTACTTCCTCATCTGGCAAACAAAAGTCCTGAGCATTATTTAATAATGTACATAGCAGTAATAACCAAAGATAGCCTTACTTTCCAAAGCAGCTTACCACAAAACAGAGGGTAACCAATATGTGCTGAGATACTGTTCCCTTTTTAAAGCTGCATTCCTTTTTTGTGATGAAGAATGTAGTCTGACCGCCTTTCTCAGCCCCGGTTCAAGTTCTGACTCACAGAAATGACAAAATCCTCTCAAGTCTTCACAAATCTTTTAGTTTTTTTGTCATTTTGCCATCTTACAGATGTCTTTAGATGCCGTTTTTCTTTCTGGCATTTAATCCAAGCTCCGCTGTCACTGAGCACTTTGCCTTCTCAGACCGCTGAAAGGCATCTTGCGGTGTTTCAGCCGTAAGGTCCATGCGGCGGTCTCAAGCCGGGTGACCAGCTGGAGAGCTCTTCTTGTGTATTTAGGCGTTTGATAAAGTATAAACAAGACATCATCCAACAGATGGCCTCGGAATTAGCTCTTTTTTTCACAAGATGTTGCTACAGCCCTTTGATATGCGGGTGTTTGTTGGTTTGTGTGTCTGTCTCGGCCCCATCCGTATTTCCTGTGTGTGCTGGAATCCTTTGCAATGTCACTCTGACCTATTCGTTGGCCCTGCGGTTTGCCTCCTAACCAGAGGGAGGCACGGCAGAAGAAACGGGCCACATCGAGGCCGCCACCCAGCAGACATTGCACTACACGCTGGCCAATCAACAGGTCCAGTTCCACCGTATCGGGGAAGATGGACAAGTTCAGGTGGTGAGTGTCAGACTTTTTCCCCCCCCTTTTTTAATCATTTTCTGAATCCATCCATAAGAACAATATATTTTGTCTTGATGGCTAGAGTACGAGTGTAGCTGTCGTCATAGGCGACAGGTTCATACCGGCATGAAAATCCCTCACCTTTTGGCAAAATTCGCCGTTTTGAAACCAAAATAGGTGACCTACGTGAATCGTGTAGATTCAATGAGTTCTTTTTGTGGGGGGTTATTCATATTCAGTGACCTGCGAACAGGTGCGCGTGTCAGAAGGGAGCGTGAGATTCAGTGAATTGCGAACAGGGTGAGTGATGGTTTTAATATTTTCTGGTATATCCAAGTTAAGTTACCCAGGAGCTTTGTTGACATAGACTTAGCTAACGTTAGCTACAGCTTGATGAGTTGAGTCATTTAACACAGCAGGAGAGAACGCAATGTTGGCCAGCTAGCTAAAGCTACGGTGGAAAATGATTAGCTAACGCTAACCCTACCTCCCCCCCCCTACCCTCCGTCAACGAATGACTTGAAGAAAGATTCGTTAATTTTACTGAACGAGATTCAAAGAACCGAGTCGGTAAAATGGTGGGTAATATCTTACCCCCCCTCCGTCAACGAATGACCCGAAGAAATCTCTGGGACAAAACCAGTTGAAAACCCCTGCCCTAGAGGGGTAATATCCTTCTCACCCTTGACCCATTTTCATGCCTGTTCATAGTGCGGAAGGAAAGATCTTTCCACCCACTAGCATGAAGAAATACTGTGCATCAATTGTGGGCTGACAGGAAGGAAGTGACCTGCCTTTCGTATCTTTGTTCTGAAATCACCAAAAAATACCTCCAACGAGCGATAAACCACTTCATTAAACTCTGTGGCCTCTGTTCCGTGTAAAAGTCCAAGGCTTAACGTTGAGTACAGTAATTCATTGTGGAAGAGCCTCTTCGGCTGGTCTTGTTTAATGTTGTGTAATCAAACAACCGGTGACCGACACACACAAGCTGTGAGACAAAGTTTGTCAGGAGTTTGTGTGTGCAAGTTGCAAAGTCAGTGTTTCTAACAAAGAAATGATAATAACTAAACATGGTCTGATGATACCACATGAACCTTCTGCTGTTAGGCTCCATATCTGCTGATTGGCACACAAACTGTTATGACAGGGATACAAAGTCCCTCGTAATTCAGTTGTTGGAAGTTCCAACAACTGTGAATTCACTTGATTTGTTTAAATTTGACTAAACAAGAGACTTCTATATTTCATTTTACTCAACACAACTGGGTATATTAAAACAGTTTAGACATTGATTTCTTAATGGCCAGTATGTAGAGACGGGATGATTACAACAAGCAAAGTACCTTTTAAACTGTCTATTGGTGCCTATTTGTAAATGTATGATAATCATTCACATGCTTCTTTTCCATTTAAATAACATTTAGCATTAAAGGGAAAAATGTGATAAGTAGTAGTAGTAGCAGCAAATGGTTTGATCACATGTCTGCAACTTCCTCCTTCGCCGTGTCTCCCAGATTCCTCAGGGTCAGCTGCACATCGCCCAGGTGCCGCAAGGAGAGGAGGTGCAGATCACACAGGACAGCGAGGCAAGTGTCTGTGTGTGTTTAGGGGACAATCAGCCACTCCTTTGCTTAAAGCCTTGCCTCTGGCATACTACCTCTTAGAGCAGTAGATAATTGCCTCGATAATTTGTCTCCTGACAGAACAAAGCCGTGACCATAAAGTCATGCTTGAGGAATAGGTGGTTCAACTGAAGAGAAAGCCAACATTGTGGACACCGTATCCGTGTGAGCATGGAGATTAAGCAAACGCACCCTGGATGGCTTTTTGCAAATTCTACAGAACTTTGCAGACACAACGACAAGACAATTTAATGCAAATTTGCATGAATTGAATTGAGTTGAACTGTAATCAACAATTCCAAACACGGGGATGCTTAAAGATGTATATTTTAACGTGGATAGAATGCAATTCCCAGTAATAAAGTTAAGTTTTTTCATAAAACCCAATACGTTACTCTACAAAATTACACTTTTCCTGTAATCCAAAAGAGGCATAATGCACCCGAGTAATATCTGACAACAATTAAGTCATTGGTGAATTTTAACGAAAGCAGATGTCACGTAATGTTTATATATCCGCTTGCGTTTGCGCAGGGTTATGACTTTAGTTTCCACATAATGCCCAGATGTCTCATGTCCCCCACCAGACATGCACTCTGCGTGCACACACAGCCTGGCTGTTAAAATCAAAATCTAATTCCAAACCACACCAGCTGCTCGAGAGAAACCTCCACATCAGCATCATTGTTAGTGATATTTTTTGAAGATTTGGAAGAGGGATTTATGACATGAAGTGTAGACACATACACATTTGGAACAGGCTAAATTCGTCAAATTCATTGGTTTTAGCGTCCTTGAAAAGGCAATTCGCTGCATTAGATGCGATTGACAAAGAGAAAACAACCCAAAGTTTGGCGTTTCTAAATTTGGCTTTGATGACGTTCTCTCTAATGTGGTCTTGTAAACTTCACCGTGAATGACGCAACGTTGGCGTTTGAAGAAAGACGTCCTCTCACTCTTATGTCATTGCGTTTTTTTAAAAAAAACCCTCGGCCAAACCGCGGATGCTCAGAAACCCGGGAAAAAGGTCTTGATTCTTCTCAGACATTCACGTTCCACCTTGTTCAGTTTACCACCCTTTTTAGAACCGGATTCACCTCGAGGCAGGTTTTAGTAATCCGTTGTCAATGTACGTTGGTTCAAATAGGAGGCCAAAGAAATGTGCAAGAGTTATCATTTCCGTGACTCGATGTTTGGTGGTTAAAATAGCAAAATGATTATGTGTATTTAATATGGCATCAGACCTTTGACGGGACGCGTCACTCCTCTTTTTCAGGGAAATCTCCAGATCCACCAGGTACACGTTGGTCAGGATGGACAGGTAAGAACGTTTACATGAAACTAATTAAGAGGTACGATACACTAATGAATTCATGCGGTGGGTGATAAGCCACATATCTGCATCACTTGTTACGTTTGTGCTTTACGTACAGTGAATTAGATCCTTCAAAAGCAGCTGTGGTTCTGAAAAACACAAAAACCCACATGACTTTACTGCCAGATCTGTGGGCAGAGTGATTGGTCGATGCTGAATGCTCATATGATAGCAGTGTTTAATTAATCACTATGTGCTAGTAAATCAGGCTTTACTTTTATTCAAACTTAATACAGCAAATAAATACATAGATATACATTTATTGAATTGTTATTTATTATTCAAATGATCAATTTTTCATTCAGACATTGTAGATTGTATCTTCTTTTAATGCAGCAACAAACTAGTAGAAACATAAACAGGAATGAAAATGACTTGTTTTGTAGTATATGCACAGAATTGACTCATCATTCAATCAGCCGCGGGGTTCCAATGTTACACAAGTATCTTCGAGCGCCAGCAAATGTGCTGAATGCATCATCGTACTCATAAAACATTTACAAAGCAGATTTAGTCGTGTGTTTAATCGAGAATTGTTTCAATCCATGTTTACTCGCTGGCCATCTTCTTCTTGCTACATTTCTTACCACCACCTGTGAATCAGAATATTGTGAAACCATTGGCAGCACCATTGTGTGCGTGTTTTACGTCAGAGACCCACTCGATGAACCACCCACCCCGCTGCCTCCGTTCAACAGCATCACAAACTACCACAGACTTTTATGTAATAATGCCGCGCTAATTAGAAACATACACGCTCACCGCCCGTGTCTTTGTGTCCTCCGAGTGTCTTGTGTGTCTGTCCATCCCTCCTCCCCCGTCTCGGACATCCTGGCCCTTCCTGTTCCTCTGTTCTTTCTGCTGATATCCGAGCGGGTGTCGATCTAAGCCGAGCTGGCCCGTGTCTGACCAGCGCAGGGCACATATGGACGCTTCATTCCACTTTCATGAATTCATAATGTTTGTCAAGCAGCAGGACTTTAGGGAAGGAAGTTATTTCTCATGCTGCCCATCTGTCTGTTAAACCGTTTTGTGTGGTTTTGTTGCAACAGGTGTTTTTATGCAACAGCCTGTCCAGTTTTTTCCCCCTTCCTAAAAGTTGAATGGAGGATACACATATTCATTTTTGGGGTTGTTATGGCAAAATGTTTAAAGTGAATTTATTACACATGCCCCTCTTATGAAAGTGACCTACCATTTTTATTATGTTACTTTGGCATTGTGCCCTTAAACAATTGTGGCGAGGCAAACACCATTACACCATTCCAGCTTTTGCGCTCTGTGCCACGAAAAGCTATATAGAAATAGTCAACCCTCTCGCTGATGGTCTTCATCACTCATGTGGGTCGGATGTGCACGCCCGCCTCGTGTTACCGAGACAGCGTAACGTAATACTTGTTCACAGGCGGGTTATGTGTCTGCCGCATTATAGCGGACTGTGTGGACAGATTAAGGTAAAATGAAGGATCGGTAATCTGTCGGTACCCAGAGCCACATTGTGATTTGTGATCCAATTTAACATGCTTTTCATTAGCGCACTCGGCCCTTCTGGTAACTGACAGATTATTTTTAAAGCTTCCTCCTACCTGACGCCCATGACTGCCACCTCTCACCAGATCCCCCAATCATGTGCTTTCTACCTCAGCGCTATATTTCATCGTGTGATTACCATTGCATTCAATTTGCTCGTTGGTCCAAAGCGCCTGAGGCCTGTGTGTGTGCCCACACGTTGGAGATGTGTGAATGCATCTGCTTTATATGAGTGTTTTTTATGTGCTTTATCTGCTGTCCTACTCCGTGTTTTCACTCGATTGAGGTAGTTCTCTGCATGAAAACATATCTGCTTGCGTCCTTGAATGTCCCCGATAGCAGCATTCCTCTCCTTCTCGAGGATTTGGGCCAGAGTTTTGAATTTTGCACCACGATGTGGCACACCACATGTTCATATCAGTGCAGAGGACATAAGAATACGTTCAGTGTTAGCAGGTTCTCTTCAAGCGGTTTTGTGTGGTGTGGACTTTGCATAGGCATTAGCTTCTCGTAAAATGGACACCAAAGGGTCCAATAAAAAGCTCTTTTATTTTCCTTCTTTCTTTGCGGTTCATACTTTGATTGGGTCTGCAAAACGATCGGAGGTCATGGCCAAAACAAACACAGCGACTTATTCTTTCAACTTCAGGTTGCAGGTCAAGCTTTTCACACGCACACACACACACACACACACACACACACACACACACACACACACACACACACACACACACACACACACACACACACTCACACACACACACACACACACACACACACACTCACACACACACACACACACACACACACACACACACACACACACACACACACACACACACACACACACACACACACACACACACGCAGTGAAGCACTACAAACCAACAAACCCAGGAACTTACTCACAAGACACTCGAGGGAAGTGGGGCCCAAACAAGTATGATTTTAGTGATTCGTACTTAATCACAAAGATAAATCACATGGACCAGATATGGTTGCACACAAGTGACATACTATGTATTTATCCTGATTGGTGTTGTGTATCTTGGACCAAAATTTGTTAGGAGCATTAGACAAAGACATAACAGTTCAGACATAAACCTGATGTGTGTTTTCGTACGACTGATGTATCGCCAATTTTGTAATCCGGCATTTATTTTGTGATCTCTCCTGGAATTTGTTTTCCTTCGCATTCTGAATGAACTTGAGTCTACGTACGAGACTTTTTTGCATGATACTTAGTGACCCCTCTGTCTACCCCATCATGCTCATCGTGTCGTTCCCAAAGATTCACTGCATGCAGTGGACAGAACAGTGGGCCTCACATCTTACATCCAAAAGGGTGAAAGCCTAAACGGGACACGTTCTGGAAGACAGGTGTTGTCCCATTGAGTGATAACCGAGGCTGGTTGGGCAGTGAAGTGTAAAAACACGCGAGGTACCGCGTGTCACATAAGTCCTCCAGAAACTGAAGTGGCTTAGGCAAATGCAATGGCCTCGGATGACCCCCCGTCCTCCACGAACCCACCTCACCTTCCCCCGATTTGAACCACTTCCTGTCAGTGCATCTGTTGGAGGCTCCTTATGGGAATTCTTCATGTTCCTTGTGGGAAATTGGTCACAGAGCAGAGAGTGCAACTCCGAACCGTTGGGACCCGTAAATCCAGAACCCAGATAAATACAGGCAGTGCGTTGTGTAAGAGCGGTGCACAGGAGGACACGTCAATGAGTCGACGGAGGAGAGCAAAACAGGGCCAAGGGAAAGAATTGAGTGAGGTAATGAACATAAGACGAGGGGGGGGGGTTGGTATATAAAGGAGAGACCTCTACTCTTCAATGTCTGTTGTTAGTTAACGTTTGTAAAATGCTGGTCGTTCTAGGACACGGCCTCACGATTTGTGACGAGCACACAGAAAGCAGATGCCTTAACAGTGTTTAACCTCAGAGAACCGGCGTGTGATCTGTGCTGCGATCGCGCGGCTGGCCCGTCCCCGACTCACTTTCCCTCTCTCTCTCTCTCTCTCTCTCTCTCTCTCTCTCTCTCTCTCTCTCCCACCGCTCAGGAATTTTGTGTTCAATAACTATGCGGTTGTTGGGATTCCTGTCATTCGAGAGGAGGCAGACATGAGATGAAAAGATGCAAACAAGATGTTTTACGACCAATGTTTGGAGTCTGTGGGACGTGTTTAGACATTTGAGGGTGTCGAGGTCTCGTGGTGGATCCTGTTTCAAAGGGGTAGTGGTCTGCTTTGTGTCCTTGTTGCATCATGGCTCTGAGATAAAGTGTGTGTGTGTGTGTTTAGATGAGTGCAGAGGCTGGTACCCACAGTGGTGGTAGCGTTTTATCTTTGTATGCAGAACCGAGTGCGTGCGTGTGGACGTGCGCGAAATCGGGAACAGATGTTCTAGATGAATTCCACCGTGACTCACCGTCGGCCCTGCTTCACTCATTAGTCATCATCTTCAACAGGAATTCTAAGTAAAATAAAATGTTTTTTTATTGTAGTGATAGAAAATAACATTTTACATACACTGCAAAGGTGTTGCTACACATTCTTGGAACGTTACCATGACTGTTGGGCATTATTCCAGAGGAAGCCCAAGCCAGATGGGGGAGATGGATGGTTTCTTCCCAGCGACCCCTCTTTGAAGAGTGTGTTTTTGTTTTCCCTTTCACCGCTGCTGGCAAGTGCACAGGAAGCAGTGAAAGGAATTTCATCTGAAGTGGTACGTCAGTCATTTAAAAAACTCCAGTGTGCTATCTGCTGATGTGTGATGACGCATTAGTTAGTTTTAGTTGGGTTCATTTCTATTGTGTATTAAACATGAGCCCTGAATCCACTTAGTCCTCTTCAGGAAACTGCTTAAGGGTCAGTCTTGAGTCCCCGGGAACTTGTCTAGTCTTAAAATGTAATTTCCAAAGCAATGTTGTTTGTTTTGGATATTTAAATGAACGTGCCAGAACCGTAAATGGAATCGTATGTTTCACCTTCGTTGGGTCAGTAGGATGTTCTGGTCTCTGGCATTGTGCATGTATAGTTTTTGTCTCAATTACCTGCTCAGATAGGTGCCGACTCACAGGTATTTTGTGCAGTGTGATATTTTGTCAGTTTGAGTTTTACAAGCTGTGTATATAAGTTTCTCTGGCACCGTCAAATTAAACACAGTCATGAAATCATGACATTTACAGCGATTGTAAAAATGCCTTCTTGCATAAGAGCATGCATAAGAACAGAGAAAAACCCTCAATGGATCGGTGGCATTGACTCTATATAACGGCAGTTTTTTTTGTAATCAGTCTCGTTTTGATTTGCTGTTTCTGGATCAAAAATGAAGTCACGCCTGTTTTGTCGTAAACCCTCTCCGCGTCCTGTCCGAATCCGACTCCCAGTGTTCTGGCGGGAGTTGCCGAGTGAAGGGATGCAAGGGAGGGACTGATTGGATGCAGGTGCCGACCTTTGGTGTAGAAACGGCGTCAGGGGGTTTGTGTGTGCGTGTGTGTGTGTGTGTGTGTGTGTGTGTGTGTGTGTGTGGAGATGGGAAGCAGTGGGCCAGGTTACCAGGTCAGGGATCGCAAGACATAAATATTTATATCGCGGGTGTATGTCAGAGCAGTGCGTTGACAGCAGATGGATTCATCAGTAATGCAGGCTAGCATCAGTTGTCATAGCCTGGACCTACAACTGCAAATAAGTGAGAGAATTCCCAAATCACAAGTAAAGAAAGCGTGATACCTTTTGGCTTGTGTTTCAGCTACTGACGTATTCTTTTTTTATTTTTTATTTGTTGCACCAGCCCACGTATGTCCATTCGATCATAATATGAGCTGAGGGCCGGCTGAAATCCGACTAGTGTTTTCAGAATCTGAGGTAAAATAAAAAAGGAGTTCATGCTCTCATTGAGACGTGCATAATCCGGTGTGCTCAGTTTCCCAATCTTTACGTAGCAATCGCTCAGCACGCCACTGCGTCTATGGGCATCTTTACAGCATAGTCGCAGCCAGGCCTTAGCACCCCCAACTCCTCCACCGACTACCCCACCCACCCAGAGCTAATGTTACTCAGTGATCTTCCGGCTGTGAAGCTTAAAGAAAGTTCCAGCCAAAGTCTAAATGTTTCTTTTTTCATTTCCCTGTTTTTTTTCCCATCTGACCAAAGAGGAGCAATGATAGGAACTGGAATGATAGGATAGGACTTTTGACTCTTTCGCAAGGAGGATCTTATTATTGGGGGATTCCAGTGTATGTCGATACTAAATTCTTTAAAGGCTACTGATACATACGCACACAAAGCAGTTCACTTGTATTATTGAGTCCGATTCCCAGCTGGGTTCAGCTGGAGTGCCTCCCATGAGACTGGGAATTGATCCAGTATCTGCATTACCGGGAATGAATTTTCCTACTGATGAAATACTCTTACCAACCACTGCATCTTCACACAACCCGTACTTTCTCAAAAGCTTATTTATCTTGTTTTACTAGTTTTACGTGAAAGTAAAGGACAAAAATGTACATTGTAAAAAATGCTTTGCTCAGACAAGGGAAGAGCAACGATGCCTAGTTTATCCAGTTGGTCGTCGTCTTCCAGCCTCTGAATCTTTTTTTTTTTTTTCAAATGAGGCCCTGTTGTTCAAGTTTGTGTGTCTCCTCGGTGTCCTGGATCCATTACTGAAAGCATTACAGCATCTGCAAAAGATTCCTTTTTGTTTTTCCCTTCCCCGCGTTCTCAGGGCCACGGCCGATAGTGAGCCTGCAGAGGATTTAAGATGCTCTTGATTGTTCAGCACTCTTCTCTCCGGGACTGCGCTGTGGTATCATCGCCTCTCTTGGGCCGGCCAGCCAGCCGGCGCTGATTATCTCAGTGTCCCAGTCCCTAAAACTGGGAGATCAACAATATCTAATCCACTTAAGATCTGCTGTTGGCCCCCGTTTCTGACTAATTAAGCCCACCATGTCAAATAAAATATATTGGTCTTCAGTCGAAGTGACTCATACCAGTTTTTAGGCAATCAAGGCAAGATTGTAAAGTTTTCCCCCGGTGTCAGGGGACATGTCCGCTCCGAGACAGCCCCCATAAACATTGCTCTCATCGTGCAATTCATTAGTTTCTACCAGCAATCTTGATTTTCTGTTCAAGCAGATTGACTTTGTCCCTCATAAAACATTTCCTTCAGGTCCTTTTTAGATTTCTATTGTTTATTTGCATCATTGCCAAACCACTTATTGTGTTGATTATATGGTGTTTGCTCAATCTTACAGTCCTGTAATGGTGCTCAACAGTGTCGTGTATGAACCAACCATGTGGCAACTATTGATAACAAATCAAGACTTCATATCTATAGAGGTAAGTATATTCTACTAGAAAGACTGACATGTATCCCCGAGTAAACTTCCGTGAAGTTGTTGGATGTTTCTTGAGGGCAGATTTAGCCTTAAATCGTTTTCGGCTGAGTCATACTTAAACATCGAGCATGACAGTTATCCACCCAAACAGAGGCGAGGAGTTGCTCTGACCCGGCCAGTCGTGGGACAGGATGCGGATCCGAGAAGTTCCTGTGTAATCGCCGCGAAGATCTCACACACCGTTCCAACTCTTTAAATGCTCGCCTGAGCCTCCGTGCGCTGCTCCCCACAGCTGAGAATGCAAAAAAACACTTGCAAATGGAGGTTGAGAATCTAATTGAGCCAGACAAGTGTTTTTAGCATCTCAAGTATCAAACGTCCAATCTCGTGAGCTGCGCTGAAGTGGACACTCGCGGTACAGACACGTGATGGTGCTTGGGTTTCTTCCGCCTGTGCGTTCACATGCGCGCGCCAGGCAGGCTGATCCCCGCCGAGAGAGCAGCGTGATGAAGTGCCGCGGACGAGGATGGACGTCTACCATGACGAAACGCTGGCAACACATTTGCTTTCTCACTGTCCTCAATGAGGTGACTGATGGAGCTCATTTAAAAAAAAAATGTAATGGATTTTTGGGATGATCCTTACTTGAAGTATGAACAATAGAGTAACATTTTGGGAAATAGGTGCAGCGTAGCTTGGAACGAGCCATGGTAGCGGTTTCCGTCTGCTCCGCGTCTTCGTGCCAGCTGACTGCTGGCTCCAGCTCTGGAACCAGTGCACATGCACACGAGTGCTATCGATCTTCTCTTCTAACGCTCTGGAAGAAGCAAAAGTATATTGATCGATAGTCTTTCACTACCTGATTAGTGTTTGAACTAACCCTGCAGGCTAATGCTCTAATTGATCAGGAATGTTTTAATAGCTCCTCAGACACTGATTCCTTTGAACCAAACAGTCTACTGCTATCTTAAGAGTCTCGCTCACTCCGCCTCGTCCATGTCTGTGCTGGACTCGTCCTGGTTTTCTCAGGAGTTGAGTCAGTCAGACTTCTAACACACTAATAGCCTCCATCGGGACGCCCAGGCCTGGCACATTCTGGCACATTCTGGCTAAGAGGCAGCAGATTTTTTATGGTGAAACCGGCTGTCTCTTAGATGACAATGAGAGTCTGCGGGTTTAGCTTCTCATTCAATGAGAGGATGGGTCCAAACTTTTTATCATATCAACAACTTATATCATTAATTCATTTAATTTATTTATCAAAAAAGGATGGATTACTAAAGTTGGAACTACTGCAAAAATCTTAATTTATCAACATTGTGTATGTTTTTAGTATATAGGGAGGAAAATGTTTTGTATGTATGTAATTTGAGGAATATCAAAGATCACTTCATAATTCCTAACAAATTCCTAAATTAATTCTAAATGAGCATTTTATAAGAAAGATTTCCCTGTTTTCCTGCTGCATGTTTGCAGTGGCAGTCCATCTATAGGAACAGACTATAGAGTACTGTGTTAGCATTTCTCTGTGATCAGTGCGTCAGAAGCGTCGGGTTCCCCCGCGAAGGCTCGCCCTCCATTCCTCAATGACTTTAATTGAATGAAAATATCATGTATATCATGTTATGGAGCCTAGGAAAAACAGAACTCTTAAAAAATACAATTGATTTGAATGGGGCCATAAAGTTCCTCTCCAGCTCAACGTATACACTGAGGTCGGGATGGGAAGCAGTGCGAACAGCAGAACCGAAATGTTTATTTACGCCACGCTGATGCCTCTTTCCTTACCACAAAGTTACTTGTTTCTGAGGCACTGTGATTGTAAACCATGACGGCTGTAATCAATAAAAGAACATAAACACATCAGATGGGACATAAATTAGTCTTCCTGCTGTTTGTTTTCATTTTGTAGTTTCCAGTGATGTGTGCGGTAGACTATTGCAGATTGTTGCTTTTTGAACTCCTCGTACAACACGAGCAGCGAGAGCGAGGTTGATTAAATGATGGTCGTTTCGAGAGTGGAGTGAAAACGTCTGCCGCGGTTGTTTCCTCTTATCTCTCCTAGGTGCTGCGCGGGGCTCAGCTCATAGCGGTGGCATCCACCGATGGAGGGGCCACGGCCGTGGAGGGCTCCCCCCTCCCGTCTGACATCCAAGTGCAGTACGTCCAACTGGCCCCAGTTGCAGATCATACAGCTGCCGTACAGGTAAAGAAACAAACACACACACATACACAAAAAGCTATTTCTCGCTGGCTGCAGGTTGTAACTGGGGGGGCGGCGCGTTCCAAGTGCTGGAGTATGCGTCTATTGGCTGAAACAGACCCTGGCACTGATGTAAATCAGTCTTACTGCATGGGCTGGTGTTTTAAGAAGTCCACAATGATGAACTGTTCCCCATCCGCCCCTCATTGAGAAATAAATAGTGTCGATCAATCCTTTGCTGCTGCTGTTCATCTGTGCTCTCGGGTGCTCGGCCAGAAAGTCCACGTCCCAGCACGCCGGGCGGTTTTGTGCTCTGGTGTGTAGAAGTCACGGACTGAAAGGTGGAGTCTGGAGTCTAGTGTTCCTATTAAGGAAAATGTTCTTATTCATATTCGGTCTGCACGAAGATGCCATTTATGTTTAAAATCAGCGGGAAAACCTGCCAAGAAGTTATGGGAGGGTGTTTCTGAAATACAAATCTAGATTTAAAAGTGAACTTTTTAAAAACCTTTTACTTTGTGAGCCTTCTGGATAATTTCACGATGCTACGAGGTTCAGTTTAACGCATCAGTTGTAAATGGTTCAGATATGTACCTTACTAGTTACCACTTTTGTTAGTCTGGAATGTCCGATGGAAGTAACTACACTGTGCTTACGAGCCACATCAGCTGGTTTTGGTGAAGACGGTCCCAAATGTGCACGTTTGCCTTTCCATAAAACACAACACCACCTCAAGTCATAAACAATTAAACTAACTCCAAAAGGGATTTGATCAAACTTACAGAAACTATCCTGCAAAGCGCAGCCTCTAACCACTCAATAGTGGCGTAAGAAACTGACTGTTTGGTAGGAACGATAACCTTTCTCTTACTGCAGAATTTGGAGTCACACACAGTCTTGTGCCTTCGATTGCTTTTAACTGTGTTTTTAATTGTTTGTACCAATGACTCAACTAGAAGAACATCGTGTCCACGCCGCGTTGGAAACAGTGAGACAGTTGACAACACTTGGATGCCAACGCAGTTGATCATTGTGCTGGTGTCAAAAACGGCATTTCCCGCTTTGCTGGAGAGTACGTCATGAATATATCGATCAATTGTTAAAGAATTGTCACAGCTTCATAAATCATGACAGGGAATTAAGTGAAAAATACACTAAAACATCAAAACATATTTTGGGATTTTCAGGAATCTTTAAACATCTCGTCTGCGATCTTTCTTTCTTCTTTTTTTTTCAGGCAGCAAAGCTTTCTGTTTGTTTGGGCTGACGCCTGCCTTCTTTTGTTCTGTGATGGTTTGAGCCGCTTCATAATGGGGAGAATAAAGCCTGTAATATTTCATTCATAATTTACCACAGTGTTATAATAATTATGCGTGCAATTTAGCTAAACTACCTGCAGGTATTGTAGGCCTCCTTTTACCCTGTTGTCATAATTATGCTCAAATAAAATAGACTCAACTTAAAGTCATTACTGGAAAAACAGTAATTTAACAAAAAAAAGCGTTAAAAGGAGAAGAGGAGTCATTGTTAGATCTTCCTTAAATCCCTTTGCGATGGAGCCTTTTGTGGAGGTGGGAAGGCGCGCGCCCCACACGGCCAGGAATGTAAAAGAACCGCTTTCCATTGTCCTCTCTGCTTCTCTGTTCTCCCCCCAAATAGATTTAATATCACATCTTCTCCATCCTGTCTTTGTTGTGTTAGTATCATACAAACAGAAATCAGCTGAAATGGTTTTTGGTGTGTGAAATACCTGCCGTCCTGCAGCCTGGTACGGATCTCCCTGCAGACTGTGATCCACCATCGTTCGAACTGGGCTCTCTTGGTGATTTGTCTCCAGTCGTGGAGGTAACTGGTTCAACCTGTGAGAGGTATTTAAAGCCTCTTGCATCCATCCATCATATTGGGTGTGGATCACACACAAACTGATGAACTGAGTTGAAAACAATTGCCGCCCTATATTCCAAGGCCTGCTCTCCACGTTTCTCAAAGCAATCCGACTGTTTGTTTACTCAACTGATTTATGAGCATGGATTTGTTCTGCCTAATGTCTGATTGTACTCAGACCTTGCCAGAAATCAACAAAGTCAGAAGAAGTCTGTTCACTCATCAGCATTTGGGACGGGCGCAAAGACGGGGTCGAGGACATAATGAAAGAACTTGCTAACAATGTGGTGTTTTATTGCTCAAATGATGAATCAACTCGTCAAATGCAGATTTTCATTCAACCTCACTGCCAAAATAATGAGCAGCGTTGAATGCATCCAGAGGGTTTAAGGAAACTTTTCTTTCAATTTTCCATAAAGAAAATGTTTTATATGCCTTAAAGGACGTTACAGAGTAAACCTAAACAAGATCGATCCCACCAATAACTGATAATCAATCATCAAAAGTTAAAACAGAACAGTGAAAGTAAAGGGCCGGTAGCTGTCCGGTACAGGAGGGGCGGGGGGGGGTTATTATCACAGTTGGGTTCCCATGTCCCCAAGTGTAAACGTCGCTGGCAGTTCAAAGTTTAGAGGAAGGTCAGCGCTGTTCCCCCTCCCTCCCGGCCCGCCCTCTTCTGAAAAGTGTTGAATCCCGTGAATTGCTTTCATCTGTCTCCAGATATGTGGTAGCAGTTACACAAGTTCAAGAAAAATTACTTGGGCTGTAATTATTTATCTCTTCATTTTTCCTCTTTTTGTTAAATACTTTCCATTTCACAAACTGGATGGAGCAGGGGGGCTACGCACGGAGATAGTCTGGCTATCGGAAAGGGCATTTCAGGTCCAAAGTTCTGCTTACACAGCACCAACAGCCCGGGTGAACCACCAAGCAGTGAATCTATTATCCACTTTCCAACTGGTTCAACATGTCCAGTGTTTCAAGTTTATTACACTTTGTACAAGTACACGTTGATGTTGGCGTCTGCCGGGAGGGAGGACTCAACGCTGCAGGTGTGTTTTTTGAGGAAACTTCTGGCGTGCGTTTGAGGAAGGAGTGAGTCATTCTTCACGGTCATCATCCAGGACTCATGAGTCATGCACCTCTCGTCTTTTGAGGTTTAACACAATACATTGCTCTGTCTGACAACAACCACATGAGACAGCCCTAGAGCGTTAAATACAAATAGCTCATCGCTGGCCAAGTCCCTCTTCACCTGTCGTCCCACCTCTTTCCTCGGCCCTTTGCCCAAATGTCTTTCTTCATCTCCCCCAAAATCTCTCTTCTCTTCTCTTTGCTTTCTCTTTTCTCCGTTGGTTTGTGTCCTAAAGGCTGCTTTCTCCCCATCTGTGCACAGGAAACACTTGTGTCACAGTCTTTTCCTAATTACTCCCAATTTGCTGTAGCAGAACGCAGCATCGAATCTCCACGGGTCTTCAGAATTATCACCTCCTCCCCTCTGCTGTCTCTGATGTGTTGCAGGCTGTGGAGCTGACCCCGGCGCTGCAGGCGGACATGGAGGTGAAAGAGGCCATCCAAGGGGCCATCCAGGGAGAGAACGGCGAGGTGCTCCAGATTGTTACCTCTGTGGCCACCTGAGAGCCCCCCTCTGGTCCAACACAGGCCGGAATTCTTCTCCACAGCGTCGCCCCCGGCGAGTCTCGGAGGTTGGCAAATGCACATGAGTCGGAAAGCGTTTGTGATAAATGCCGAAGGTTACTGATGAAACGCAGGAGTTTTTCTTTTCTCTCTCTCCCCTGCAATCTCCTCAGTTCATTGCCAACCTCTTCTCCCCGTGTCTCGTCACGGTGGACTGCAGTGGACAGTAGACGTCGCTGAGCACAGCCTCTTTTGGTCGCGATTGATTTAGTTTCCCGTAGCACTCCTTGATTCGGTTCGTACCGCATCTCCCCCGGCTGTGAGCCTGGCCTGCCTTTTGCTTTGCTCTCCTTGTTTTCATATTACTTCAGCCACACAGCTTTGTTTGTTTGTTTGTTTGTTTTGATTTATATAATTGCAACATGCTGAAGTATTCGGAGAGCTTTAATTTTGGAGGTAGAAGACCATGTAATAGAAGAGCTGGTGCCAGCGGTAGACGGGGCAAAGTTGCTCGTAGAAAAACCAAGGAGACCTTGAAGTTGTTACTCTAGTTTTGTCTCTCGTGCGTGTGAATAAAACATTTTGTGGTTGCCATAAAAAAAAGGTGTTTTTATTTTAGTTTTCTCCGCATTTCAAACCCCCGGGCATCAAAGTGGCCTCAAAGATGTCCAAGGCATGACTTTAGCTTTCATCTGCTACACCTAGACAATCGAAGAGAGTGGTAAATAATAGTTTGATTTCCTGTATTTACCATTTATGAACAAGGTGGCACAGCGGTTACCGACTCCCCTCCAGCCCCGATGTGATTTGATCCTCGGCTAATGGTGAATATCTGCAGCCAACAATGAAGGAGATAATCTCGGGCTGTGTGTTGGTTTGGGGAACTTTCCCATGCTCGGTGTGATGTAATGGTGTATTTTGGACTCGTGGAAAGGAACCAGGCGACAAAATGAACTTGATGGAACAACATTCGCGGTCTTGGCTGCTTCCTCCTGTTTCTAGTCTGTTGTTGCTGTCTCTGACGCCCCCTTCTCTCCCCCCCCCCCGCTTATTCATCTTGTCCATTCCCCTCTCTGGCGCTCGCACATAGTCCTCTCCTCCCACTCGGCTTTTGTTTTCCCTCTTTCTCCTTGGGAAGCTGTATTAAAGTACTTCTTAAATTCCCCTTATAATCATACTCTTAGCTGGGGCTAAAATGCAGTGGGTTGAGTGGTGGGTCCATCCTTTTAAAAATAATCTTGATGTAGCTGTTAAAACGTTGGCCTGGACATCCGTCTCTCCCCCCGGTGACCTCTCACTTTAAATCGTGTACTTGAAAGGGAACCGACTCCGCT